ATGCCAACAGTTCGGCAGAGTCCTTTGACAAGCTGAGGTCGCGAACTAGATCATTCAACTCCTTTTGGGAAAATGGATGTGGAGCATCATCTTCAAGAACCACTTCTTCTTCTTCATGTCCTTCAACACTGGAGGCATCTTCGTCACTAATGTCAGGAAGTTCTCTGAAGATAGGCACTGGAATTTCATCACAATGAGCTACAGGATGACGTGCTGATTGAAGATCAGGATACTTTGTGGGGCGGTTGCCCCATTAACTTAGTTTTGATCCCCCAACTTTATGCTTTGCCGCACCAATTTATGGAAGATTTCGAGGTTTTATGACTTCAAACTGATCCCTTTTTGACATAATCACCCAGAACTATTGGACCTGAATACTTCTTGTCATTAAAATAATCATTTCCAATCAAAACAATTATTTGACATGGCAATTTACCCCCACCAACTTCTTCTAAAATGCTCCACACAAACGTACATGTGAAGAAAAATGTAAAAAAACGACATGTGGCCATAGCTCAAAAACTTGACCTGATTGAGCAAAACCAATGTGATTTTTGGATTCAGCGCATCAGATTCGTCCTAAATCAACTGAAAAAACGCAGACAACAAATTTGTTGTTGACCAGTGTAATTGACTCAGAAGTGATACAGCAGAGGCACCTCTCAGGGTGTTCAGTAGTCCATTTATACTATTGTAAAGGAACATTTGGCTTCCTTGACTACACTCCTAACAGAATCATGATCTATGAATAATGTTTTCTTTTCAGTAACATGAAAAGAGCAGGTATAGCATAGTAAAAAAGAACTGTGAACAGCAGAACCATGACCAAGCCATTCCCTGTGTCTGCTGAACAGCCTCACTCTTGAAAGAACAATTTTGCAGCCTGCCAGCGAGCTTTTGCCAGAGTATGTCTGACGAACCAAGAAACACATTCTCTGACATGTAAAAAATTATTGATTCTGCCAGTATACTCAATCAATTTCAGCACGCAAGACAGACCACAAGATTCAGTACATACATGGAGGAACCACGAAGACTCTTCCTTTTGGATATAATGCAATTAAAATGATTTTATGCATAGTTAAAATGTTTGCTTATACAGAAATGTGAAATGCATGCTAAGAAATAATATAAAAGCTTTATTAAAACTGAAACATATTGCTAGACAAGGTGGCATTTCTATTTTCTTGAACAATAGAAAAACTGTGTATATCTAAATGTGACTTAAGTGCTTTGAGAAATTGCTTTTAAAACAAACAGTGTATTGATATATTTTCCTGTCAACTGAAATGGAATCAATTGTAACTTTGCTGATAGGGAGGCATTGTGGTACAACCGTTCCTTTTTTAAAAAAGGTTTTAAAATACAAAAGCCATTCATAAATATGAAACGGTTATGACTATGTTAGTCTCTTGATCTAACACACTAATAGTCAGATTGTTCCAATGCTTTAATGAACATATAATTTTACATTTGAGTAGGGATGGAACAGAAATTCGTTTGCATTTTTATGTGGATCTACCTAATCTGCACTTCTCAAAACAATACATGTACAGAAATGCAGGTAATCATTGCAAATTAACATTTTTCTGAATTTTGTGATGCAGTTTTACAATCCAAATATATGTACGAAAATGCAATGTGTACAAGCACCGGCCCAGCTGGAGCATTTGATGAGCATGGAATGAGAGGCCCCTTTTTCATGCCACTTCCCTGTGGCCAGTGTGAGCTTTCTGTTTGCAAGCTCAATTCAGAGGAGAAATGTGGCAGACAAAAATAAGGGTACTGAGTCAAAGTACTGCTCATGACACAATTATTAGCTATAGACAAACTTTCATCACAATAACCAGGTCCACCAGAGCCCAGGCAGACAATGGGTTCCTCTTCTAATATCCAATACTCCCACAAGACTAAAATCCCAGAATACTGTGCATTAAATAAAAAAGTTGTAAAAAGGCTATTCCTGTGTAAAGGTAAAGGGTAAAGGGACCCCTGACCATTAGGTCCAGTCGCAGACAACTCTGGGGTTGCGGCGCTCATCTCGCTTTATTGGCCGAGGGAGCCAGAGTACAGCTTCCGGGTCATGTGACCAGCATGACTAAGCCGCTTCTGGTGTACCAGAGCAGCGCACAGAAACGCTGTTTACCTTCCTGCCGGAGCGGTACCTATTTATCTACTTGCACTTTGATGTGCTTTCGAACTGCTAGGTTGGCAGGAGCAGGCAGCAACAGGAGCTTACCCCATCGCGGGGATTCGAACCGCCAACCTTCTGATCGGCAAGCCCTAGGCTCTGTGGTTTAACCCACAGTGCCACCCGTGTCCTGTGTACATGCTCATAACTCCGGACCTTCCAAGTGTCCCTATTTTCTAGGGACGTCCCTGATTTAGAAAAGCCATCCCAGTTTCTTTTTTTAAAAAAAATAATATTTATTAGTAGTTTTCAGAATCATAAGAAGAAAAAAAACATTAAAAAACAACACTATAATAGAAAAAAAACCCAATACAACAATACAACAAAAAGATAAAAAGAAAAAAGAAAACAACACAAATCCCAAATTACATATCTAAAACTTCCATTTGCTTGTTTCATTGACTTCCTCACACCTCTGTTTTTGTATTCTAGTTTAATTAGTTATTTCAGCAAATTCTTTCCATCTTTCTCAATTTTTGTTAAAAAAATTATCCTAGCCTAATTTAATCTAATAATTAACTCAACAAATCCTTTCCATCTTTCCCCATATTCTATTATTCACATTACCTTAATTAATTTAACCTTATCTTACCCTAAAACACCTTAAAGCTTGAATCTTAGTTATCAAATATACATTACTCCTGATATCATTTCTGCTAAAGTCATATAGTTTCATTCCAACATTTTCCCTAATATTCATTAATTTTTAACCAATTCCCCAAATAGAAAATTTTCTTTATAAATTTTCTTCCAATCTTCATCCAACGTCCCTTCTTCCTGGTCTCGGATCGTGTCAGTCCTTACTGTCCATTCCATCTAGTCCATCAACCTGGAAGCCTTATGTCCGAGGCCCTTAAGTCTCTTCCATGTCCCTTCTGCAATTCTTCTTCTTCTTGTTTATACTTGCCCTTTTCCTTGTCTTTTGTTGGTCTCTTTCTTAGTTTCTTTCCTTTCTCATTGAGGGGTAGGCCTCTGGGGGATTCCAAGCCAAAATTGTCTCCATCTCCCTTCATCAAACCCGCCCATTCCCCACAGTCCCACTCCTCACAATCCTCAATATAGTCCAAAAAGTATTTAAAAGCATAGTCCAAGGTCTCTCCAACGTTGGGAACCTCCTCAACTCCAGACTCCCCCTGGCCCACTCCAACTTCAATCTTCAATGACAGCGGCTCATACTCCTGTAGGGCCTCGGGACTCTCCATTTGTATTATTTGGGGTGCAACCGCATCCTCCTCCATTATCTTCTGCACTTGCCCAGTCAGTACAGATTCATGAGTTGGTCCCTGGATAATTTCTGTATCAATATTCCCTGTTTGCCCACAGTTATTAACTGCAACAGTCAAATCCATTTTCTCATTCATCAAGTCCATCTTCTCATGCATCTGTTCCAGCAGGGCACTTGTCTTGCATAAGGCAAGCACCCAGTCTTCTTTCCAACTCATCTTTAGTCAAGGTCAGAAAAGCCTGTTCCCACGGTCTTAATCTCACATCTGTTGAGCCCTCAAATGTACTGCAGCAACAATTTGACAAGCTCCCTCTAGAGGAGGCAAGAAAAAAGCCATCCCAGTTTCTGATTTGATCCCAGAATGTCCCACTTTTCTTTAAGATGTCCCTATTTTCATTGGAGAAATGTTGGAGATTATGGTAGGATGTCCCTATTTTCGTTGGAGAGTATGTTGGAGAAATGTTGAAGAGTATGGAGTTATTCAACTCCCAAGCCATCTGAAGACAATCCTGACATCCCACCAGATGTCAAAAAGAAAAACAACTACCAGACTTTTAGAAGACATCTGAAGGCAGCCCTGTTTAGGGAAGCTTTGATGGACTACTGTATTTTAATATTTTGTTGGAAGCTGCCCAGTGTGTTGTTGTTGTTGTTGTTATTGAAGGTCGGTATTTTTGGGGTTTTTTAATTCCAAAAAGTTTTATTGGTCAGTCATACAATGCAAAAATGTTTTAAACACCTATATGCTGTGTTCATCTCTAAAATACCAAGGAGAGAAATAGATAGATCAAGTATCAGGGCAGGTAACAACAGAAAAGAAGGGTGTGCGACTGGAGGCAGGCCAGAAAAAAAACCCAAGTGCAGGCCTTTTGAAGAAAGGCATGTTTCCTCTGTGGAGGGATTTGTAAACTTAGCCACTGTCTAAAGGAGTTGATGCAATTCCTGCTCACTGTGGCCTTGGGCAGATTTTGGGTCAGTGGTAGAAAGAAGGGCAACTGGTGCAAGCTAAAAGATGGAGCTCTCAAAAGCAGTGCTGGGACTCTTGTGCAAATAGGTAAATTGTACAGCTTAAATCTCATCATCCATTACCTTTTACTAAGCACAGATTGTAAAATTGGGACAGGCTTATCAACTCCTGAGAGGCATCAAGACCTGACTGCAATTGCTAGCTATTCTGCCAGCAGCAACTCATCAAGACTTAGCTGTGTTGCAACAGAAAACTGTCCTGAAAAGAAGGCACCCACTATGCTAGATTCCCAGGAAATGGGTGCTCAAAATAACAAGGAAGCTCCCATTGCTAAGCCTTCTGGAGACCTGGAACAAAGGAGGGAAACACAGGGTTCTTCTTTATGCAGCTAGACTAGGTTCCTGACAAGGGTCAGAGGATCCAAGGAGCAATGAACAAATACTATGACAAAACAGAGCTGTAGATCAGTTACAAGCCCCAACACGAAAAGGACTCTGAATTGTCAATCTCCATAGACATATCAGTTGCTTCATTATCCCAAATCCCTCCTACATCTCCCACAAAAACTTGTCAGCTGCTCTTCACTGTGCAGGGTCCTCAACATTCTTGTGTTTGGATCACATACAGTCCATGGAATTCTCTGGTTGCAGACCCATGGAATGGACCAAGCCTTTGATGTAGACACAGCTAGGAGGCAGGAAGCTATCAGGTTGTGGGTCTACATTTTCATTATTGTCCATCTGGTCTCTAGGACCATCCCAATTGATGTGGAAATGGGTGACTCTGAGGTTGGATGCCAAGATATTCCTCTGTAGCTGGGAGAAGTCTGGCTTGAGGGGTGGGTTTTCTCTTAGCTCGGGATCCATATATTCATTGTCGACACAGTATCCAATGTGGATGAATTCTTGGCCCAGATAGGTACAAGTGATAAGTATTACTGTAACCCCCACAGCATCACTTTCAGGGATTAGATCAGGATTGGGGGCATTGGCTTCAAACACAAACATATGCCTCCCAGCTGGAACAGGTCCCACCAGCACTGAGTCAAGAACTTGGTCATATTCCTCACTCTCTGCAGAGCTCACATAGATGATCTTCCACTCCAAATTGCGAGGCAACGCCTCCCCGCACTCAAATTGCACCTGGAAGCAGAGCAGGTGGCCGGGTTATCCAGCAACGAAACTCCCAGGACACCCGCGCCATGACAGATTTCTTCTCCCCCCCTCCCCCGCCCTGCTTCCTTCTCCCTCCATAGGGAAGGTTTTTTAAATGTTTAATGTTATGTTTTTATATATGTTGGAAGCTGCCCAGAGTGGCTATGGGGGAACCCAGTAAGATGTGTGGTGTATAAACTGTAAAATTATCATTATGGAATGTGACGTCCCTGTTTTCATTGGAGAGATGTTGGAGAGTATGTAACTCATAACATTTACTGGCTTACTGGCTGGAGAAGCAGGAGGGTGAGGGGTGAGACTACAGCCACAGAGCTTTTCTCAATTTGGGCACAACCCGCTATTAGTGTGGAAAGGAAAACCCTGCGCATTCTAGTGACAGTGACATGTGACCAAAAGTGCAAACAATCAGCTACCAACCTACTCTTTAAAATGTTGGATCAAACAGCAACTACACCAGTGTAAGTGGTAAGTGCAGAAAGGCCCCAATCAGGGCTTATTTTCCAGCAGGAACTCGCCGGGACTCAGTTCTGGCACCTCTCAGATGGGCACCATTATAAGAGAACAAGGGAGAACAGATGCCATTATAAGAGAACAAGGGAGGCGTTCATGGTGAGTTCCGGCACCTCTTTTTCTAGAAAAATAGCACTGGCCCTAATATACAAAACTGCAGTATATTACAAAGGAACATAGCTCAGTAACAGAGCACCAACCACAATCAGAAGGTCCCAGGTTCAGTTCCCAGCATCTCTAGGTAGGTCTGGAAATCACTCCTACCTGAAACCTTGGAGAGTTGCTGCTGATCAATGTAGACAATACTGAACCAGATTGACCGATGGCCTGATTTGATATGAGATAACTTCTTATGTTAGGAAAATGTGCTTGCAAAAATGTGGATATTAGGAGAAATCCACAGTAAAATGCTGAAAAATTAATTTGAGGACTTTAAAAATAAAAGCAATCTGATGCACGAAAATGGTAAACCTAACTTAATCGGAAAAATGTTCAACTGATATTGACAGATTTGTCTGTCCCTAATGTTGAGGAAGCATTAACTATTAGAAATTGTAACATCTTCATACTATGAACCATATATAATTTATTTTGAAACAGCAGAGAAATGTATTCAGGCCCTACATTTAGAAAACAGATCCCAAAGCTTATGTACATTGTTACATCTAATGCAAAACGATGCTCATTTGTAGTCAAACCCACAATTTATAGACTTAGGAAAAATAGATCAGATGTATTTAAAATAAACATCAAGAAGTGTTATTTTATTTTAAGGAATTATGGTTTTGTAGGCCTCTTGCCCCAAGGTGTTAGTCCAGTATTTTCAAACATTCCTTAGGATATATTTCATCAAATCCTAGAGTCCTGCAAATCCTTTGGAAATCCTTTAGAGGATGTAGTTATTTATTTATTTGAGAAATATCATAACTTCTGGAATCAAACCCTAAGAGCTTTCTGTTCAGAAAACAGAGAATATTTGGAGAAGATACTTTGTAAATCTGCAGAGTCTGGATGCACAAATATATAAGCAATGGTCCAGTCTTTCATATATCTTCAACCCTGTCCAGTCTTAGTGCTGAGGACATATGGTGATCCTTTCTTTTATACTCCAGAGCATTTTTCTGTATTGTAGCAAAGGCTAGAGTTGGTCCACCTGATGTTGACTATGCTAAATCCTTCCTCTTGAGTCCAGTTCCTCAGTGGCTGGGAGAAGAGATATGATAGACCTTCAGTACCAGGGAGATTTTTTTAAATCCTCAATTTTCTTTTTTACACTGTATATTAAATTGAAAGTCTCTTGTCAACACAAAATGGAACATTTTATATTCTCATTAAAGAAAGTAAATTAATAAACATAGTCATGCTTTGAGTACACATTAGTTCTAAAGAGTATGACCTAGTCTGTATCCAGCCTGGTTCCTTCTGAACATTTTCGATTTACTGTTCCTTTCTGAATACAGTTAAAAGTATTCATTCACCCCCCCAAAGTGTGAGGCATAACATATCATATGCTACAAAAGTCAGAGACTTTGTCAGCATCATGCTTTCCCCAGAACCTTTAAGTGTGTTTTCACCCTGGAGGTTTGAACAAAACTTTGGAGCTTTTCTGCCACATACAAATGTTGTCGATAAAACACATAGGAATCTTAAACTAATGTAGATTGTAACCAGTACAGGTTTTCCATTTGCATTGTTTCACAGGCTTCACATGACATCCAATTACATTTTTTGTAACATTACATTTCATAACCATTCTATTTATTTATTTATTTATTTATTTAATTAGTTTATTATATTTATATGCCAGCCTTTATCCAGGGACCACAGGGCAGTTTACAGTATAAAAACACTAAGATAAATACATTTATTTGGAAAATGAAATAGCATTAATGTAATCCATGTGCAGATTGCTGAACTAAAGGATGGTATAGCAGTGTTAAATTTGAATGTTAAAAACTACAAGTGCTTTTGAAAGTTTTCTCTAATGCAGCACAGATTGCCAATGCATTAAAGGTGATACTAGTGATATCTAAGATATTCAAATTACTCAAAATACAATAAGATTAGTGAAAAAATGGGATTAATTTGAATTAGTTGGTGAAACTCATCTGATAAATGTGCCCTGATTGCCATGGGGACATTTAGTCCCTGTCATTTTCTGTTGTTCTGGCTCGAATCCTTTTCAAGTGCAGTCAGACATGCAGCAACAGAATATATTTTTTCCATAAGCCACTGAAGCCAGTAGGAGTGTGAGCAACTTTGATATGAGTGGGGAAAGGGTCAGTGACTGCTAAGCTCGAACAGCCTGATAAGAATATTAAATCTAACATTTATCCCCAATGAGTGTCTGATGAGCCATACCTTGCTCTGCTGACAGAGTTCACTAAAAACACATTATGATAATCACTGCAGTGTTCTAGCAAAAGCTGAGGGACCAGATCACAACAAAAGGGACGACCCCATTATGTTGTTCACCAGGCAAGTACATTATTAGAATGAAAGCTTTTTGCCTATTTACAAACAAGTCATTAGAATTGGTAATCATCATTCCAACAAATGTTTGTTGAAGAAAAATTAGTATTTTCCTTTCTCCACATCACTGATTCCCACTAGATTCTTCACATTACTGTTAAGCAGTAACTGGTTATGAATACAATCTAGTCCTTTGAATACTTGGATTATATTTCCTGATTAAAATTACTCATTGCCTTGTTTCAGTTCAGTATTCATGTCACAGCATTAACATTCTGATATAAAATCATAATGTGGCCTTGGGATTTTATTTGGGGTTTTTTGGTTTGTTTCATTCCTATCTGTGGGAAAGGAAATAGGCTAGGTCACATCAGAGCCCATTTAGATTAATTATAATGACTCACTGATATGTGCCATGTTTATACAGTTGGGATTCAACACTCCTGGGACATGTTTCATTTGGTTCTTCCTGCTATGTAGGTAGAGGTGAATAAAAATAACAGCTCCTTTCCAGAGAATGGCAAAGGCTTATTGGCATAAGGAATACAAGTAAGAAAGAAGAGAACTACACCTTTTCTGACAGATTGAGATCACGACTACCTGGACCAACTTAAATTTTAACAAGTTATGTGTTGGTTTAGCTCAACCTCCTTGTTTTTCAACAGTGATGTTTACATAAATTAACATATGAGCAATAATGCAGCCTCAGGACTGGAAATATATTTAACAGCCAGCATCTTTTAGAGGAAAATTATTTCACATTCTAGATTTTAGCAGCAAATCATTAGCCTATAGTAAGGGAAGCAATTTGGATTTTAGGTATCTAGAGCCTAAGCTGTATAGGACAAAACTGACAGTGAAATAAAATATCTAAAATCTACTCAACATCATACAAAGTATTTTGGAAATTTATATATGCTGCTTCTGTTCTTTCTGAAATATATTCTGACAACCCTGGCTTCTGCAAGCCACTCTGTAGTTTTAGCCCAGGGGAATGATTTCATTCTGCAGTCCCCCAAATGCAGCATGGTGGGATAGGGCAGTTTCAGCTACTCCTAACTTTTTTTTCTGGCTGATTGTGTTCATTCAGTTTCTCCTTGTGCTGAATAGCCTTTTCCATATATACAGTTGGTTCATGCTACCTCAATTATTGCATCAGTCTAATATCTCTACTACCTAAAGCAGCCAGGATTAAATGCTGAAACACCACAGCCTCCAGAATCATTGTATGGAATGTCTCTCTATTCTTTTATTTGAGTTTGGATCAGGCCCAGGTAGGATGGAGCATGCAATGCAAATATCGTCTTGCTGCACCACTACAGAACTCATTACTCATGCATTATGCATTCAGGCATTATGTCAGCTCAGAGAATGGAAATTCAACAGAGAGACCATTTTTCTTTCTGGTGTTTTCTGTTCCTTTTATTCAATACCATCAATACATTTCTCTTTTTTGGCTCGTTGCCTTTTAGCCAAAAGGCTAAACCTTCTGTCCTTTCTCCTTTCTTCGACTACCTTGCAGTGGATGCCTAATGACATATGCTTGCTTTTATAGCTAATAGTTTATACGGGGAGCAATAGGTTTGACTTCTCGACCCTTTTGCCGAATTCTTAGTATGCCTCAGTCATCACAATTAAATGTCTGAAGAGAGTGGGGGGATACCCTGCCACACTGGAGACTGAAAACAAGCAACTGCCTACCAAAAAGCAAAAGGTACATGTCTCATGGACAATCTCTGACACGCAACCCCCCCCCCCATGTTGCTACAGGGAAATCACAGGTTGTAGATATTGAGGCGAAATGTGGTATAAACAATAGAAATTTCTGGTTTGTTTTCTTCAGGGGCAAGAAAGAAACTTTTTCCCTACAGGAAAGGTTCTCCTTAGTACTGCTTCTTCAGTCTTTCACAAGGAATATTATTTTAATATGGTGGTGGTAGTATATTATGCCCCAGCCATTTCTCATAAGAGTGCTACATTGGAGACATAGATGAGCATGCCAAAGCAATTGACAATGTGCCTACTTTTTTTGCTACTGTAACAGTGTGGCAAAGGACAAAATCTGTGCACCTTATACCTTGTGGTAGGATGCTTCAGCACAATCCAAAGAAACCAGGGTATGAACTGTGGCGCGTAGTTAATTTGCAAATGAAAGCCCCAACTGCAAGTGATGAGAAAGACCTGTGATTGGATTTTCCAGTGCTTTCACTTTCAGTAAAAGGAGCCTCCCCCTACCTCTCATTTTAGATCTGGTGCTTACTTATATAATTAAGAAGACTTGCAAATGTTTTTGAATTAACAGTGTGCAGTTCACTTGAACTGTTTTTCCTAATTAACTTGCTTGGTTGCACATGATTTGAATAATGAAGTTTAAGCCTTCCACTCCACCCCTCAGTCCCATTTCTCCAACTTAAATCTCTCTGTCCCCAACATTGGTATTAGATGTGGAGTGAGGGGTGGTGGCAGAGAGACAGGTATGCCATGGGTACTAACATTTCCTCCCCTCCAACTAAAATCCCTCACCTGGAATGTTTATGTGAGACAGAACTGGGGTTAACTAGCACAGTTTTATTAACATATCAAAGATCTGAGAGTGAAATCAAGCTAGGAAACTGCAGGCAGCCTAAGATGGTGAAGGTATGAAGGAAACCTCCTGGCCCTTTACCTGGCACCATCCCGGGTCAGGGCACAAGGTCTGATGATTCTCTGATTTGGTATCATTCATTGCCTTCTTACTTTAATAATAATAATAATAATAATAATAATAATAATTTATTTATACCCCACCCATCTGGCTGGGCTTCCCCAGCCACTCTTAAGCCAATATATGGGCAGTTTGGGTGTGAGTGTGGGTGTGAGGGGGGCGGGAGGCCATTATCTTCTAACAATTCAAATAAAACTGCATTTATTTGCATCAAAACTTGTTGAACATAGGGGTTACTTTAAGTACCAATAAATTACCATTTGTGTATCCTGAGAAAGACACCTATAAACTACAGGACAGATATTCTGATGATTTAAGAACTCCCTTTCTTAGAATGAGAATTACAATGTCTGTTAGTGAGCAAGACAATTCCCAAATAAAATGCAACTTTATCCCAAAGTCAGTAGCTCTGCCCTAAACCGAATAAGATTATTTGTGTATAAACGTCTTAATTTGCTTCCCTATTTATCGGCTACTTCCACTGTTCCTATAACATCGCATTTCCACAGTTAATTCATCATGCTATAAAATAAATCAAAGCACTAAACAAGAAACATAAAATATTCTAACTTTCTATCACATCTGTTTAATGGAATATTTCAGTATCCTTAAGAGAATGTGGAAAATCCTGTGTTGTCTCTGTCTTTCATTTATTTCCTGCACAAGAGGAAGATTGACCTAGTTCATAATTCTCTTTCCAAGGAAGTCAGCATCTAGAAGCTCATGAGCAAGGCAAATAAATAGGTAACATCACCTGCTGCTCAGTCCCTCTCTGCCTCTGTATTCAGATATTCTACTTTTGTCTATGGAGGCTCCACTTGGCATTTAGCTAGATCGAACAAGAATGAGTTTCTGTAATCCTTTTTTCGAGCACACCTCCATGATCTTCACACACTGAATGTTTGGAGACCAAGAGTGGGATTGAACATATCTCTGTTCCCTAGTTCATTCATTCATTCATTCATTCAATCAATCTATAAATTCCACATATGCTATGTGCACAGGACTTTTTTCACATGGATGACCTTAGCAGGGGGTTAGAGACATTCATGGAAGATACAGCTATCAAAAACTACTGCCTCCAGAACCAGAGGCTGCATGACTCTGTGTACCAGTTGCCAAGGAGAACAAGTGGATAGTGCTGCTGTGTTCATTTCCTTCTTGTGAGGTCCCATCAGCATCTGGTTGGCTGCTGTGAGGACACTGGACTAGATGGATCTTTCTTCTGATTCTGTAGAGCTTTACTTATGATGGACGTTTTAGGCCAACAAATATCTGAAGGGCCATAGGTTCCTCATTCCTTGTATAGAGTATCTGGATATTCTTTTTTCCTTTTAAATAGAGGGTTTCTGAACGAAACATTCAAGTACACTTTGTTCTGGTTTGCTAGATCCTTACTAGCTCACTTTCCCAGACAAAATGGAGCCTTTTGAGCCAAGGTATTCATAAGGGGACACAGAAAATGACAGCAGAATACTGATCTCTGTCAACAAGCATCCTTTAGTGACTGCCGGCCCAAAATATTAAAGCGAATTGTCAGCATATTCCTCTTCAGCTGATGGTAATCACTGGTTATATATACATTCCCATACTTTTTCAATTCCTCTGGAGAGATTTTATGGTAGAAAACATCTATACTTTCTTTGACTTCTAATCTCTCCTTATTAAAACATGGATACACAACTCAGCAAGCTATTGTGAACTGTGTTTTACCCTGTTTACATCTCATGAGCCTAATGGGATAAGAAAAAGTAACTTTCTGTTTGGGCAAAACAAAAAGATGGGCTTCAAAATGCCGTGAGCAGTAAAACTACATATCTGAATCTAAAGTAGGTCAAGTCCAGATCTATCAGAGATCCAAAAAAGAGAGATTGCAGAGTCCCAATATTTAGCTAAAGTCTTTCTTTAAAACACAGAAATGTTTAAAATGTAACTGGAAATCCTTTGGCTTTACATTTGGGGACATCTATTCTTTTTTTGGAGCCTTACCCAAGGCAAAGTAATCCAAGCAAGGCAGTTGACTTACACAAGATGTCAAGTTCTACAGAGTTTGTGTGCCAGAATGCTAGAAGATCTGATTTGTGCCCTTTCTCTAGGGAACAGATATGCTATGCTGAACTGAAACAGGGGGTAGGTGCTGGATAGGTATAAGAAGGAAGGAAGCGAAAGGATTAACATTAGCATTCAAACAAATAACTCTGTGCATTGGTTCCAAGCAACAGATTGTTCCCCTCTTTTTTCTGTGGGGTCATTTTAGCTCCATCACATCTGTCAGTGTTTATGCTGAGCAAATAATAAAGAACAAAGGAAATGTAGACCCATCTGCAGACAATTATTCCATGTTTTTCAGACCTATTCCATTTCTATAGGATCACCCACATGTTGTATAGTCAAAAACTATCATTACTAAGAATGCATTAGCTCCAAAAGATCAATTGCTCAGTTTACCATGGTCATACAATTTCAGACATGTGTAATAGCTTTGTATCTTCTTTATGAGATGGTGTCTTTAATTAAGGTAGTAGTAACTTTCACAGAAATGCCCAAGTGTTTCAAAAATTCTTACTTTGTACCAATGAAATACTAATTGTCATGCCATTTCTTTTATACCCTGAGTTAGCTTCGTAACAGCAATTTCTGCATCAATTTGGTTCCTTTTGAGTTCTTGCACAGAGAATGACACAGAACAAAGAAATAGGAAAACAGTGCTAGGGCTGAAATAATTAAAAAAATTGTGTTGGCTAGTTCACTAAGCTGGTGGAAAAGCCAAATATCCATTAACCTTTGATCTAAGGGACATCAGTCCTCTATAACTTTAGTCATCTATGTCTGTAGTTACAAGCTTTAACTCATTAAACCACAAAAGTATTCTGAGATTACAGAATTTCATATGTATTCTTGGCTAAATGTGCACATATAGCTGCTATCAGGGAAGAAAAGGATACTTACTGCCCTTTGCTTAGCTTAAGTATCATTACGCCATGTGTTGGCCACAGCAAGATTTAGACCTCCATCATCAGCACCTATGTAATATGTGCAATCTGTGCTTTTCAGACTACCAGATAATTATTTCCCTTTGTCAGGCAAAGAGATCTTTTACACTGCCATAAAAACCTTTATTCTCAGAAGATCAGTTTCACGCACAAGGCAATAATCACAATCATTTTATTCTTTCATTTCTATTAAGATTAAAAATATTATCAAGCTGCATAAACAGACTTTGCAGCACTCTCTATTTTCAGCCTAATTTACTTTTTAATTAGAAAGCAAAACAGTTCATCAGAAGAATGAGGTAATTTCTGGCCACAATAAAAACATTTGGCATCTGTTTTGATAAAACTTTATACTAATATTGTCAGCACGGCAGCTCAAAAGAATGTTTTGGGCTAATACATTCTGCTTTCATACTACCATCATACAGCAATACTTGTACTTTTCTACAGCTGGGGCGAACAGGTCAGTAAGCTATTCGTTTCATAAACTGAACTTTAAAGATTATGCATGAAGATATGATATACTGAAACCCTTAAAAGCAGCAGTACAACAGACCAGTTCAATCTACAATTTACTGCTTTCGTTGAAATAGTTCCCACATATTGTAGAATATATCAATAAATTACACTTTAAACTGAACAGCTGAACATGTAGCATTGGCAAGAGCATTCCAGACACTTGAGGAAAATCAACTGTACAGACTGAAACAGGTTTAATGGTTATGCCTCTTTCTAGGTTGTGTAGGTATTTTATTCCTGAGAGGGAGGCTGCTTCAGATCTTTAACAAAATTCTCACCAAAACTACAACGTTAACAGATCATGCGTCTATCCTCATATATATGGTGAAAACACGTGCACGCATATGCATGCATTCTTGGAAATACGGCACTACAAATCTTTATTCTAGGGATGGCTTGCCACAATGGTTCCAACTACAAATTTAGAAATGTCAATACTGTCATGCTTACTTGGGGGAATTAACAAGAACCAACAAATGTCAACAGGAATATAAATGAAATGTATATTTAAACAAACTGTTGGGCAGTAGGTAAAATGGGTCAGCAGCTTGGAGTGCCAATATAATAGTAAAAAGGAACCCAGCAAGGCAGTTGGTTGTTACATGTTACACAGGGTACTCAACCCGTGTTACTTTGACCATCAGCTTACACTTAAACAGTTCCTATCATGGACATAGAGATAGATGCAGTGATATTGCCTTATGTGGAGTGGGCGCGGGTGCTACAGAACCTGTAGAATTATAGTGGAAGCTTAAATGCACTGGCAGGGGTGGGGAGCTCAAATGCAAATGACTGAAGTTGGAAGACAGTGAGGTTAGGGAAGTGAGAAATGTAGAGACAGGAGGGAGATGTGATATGCTAATAATTACAAGTCCAGAGGAAGACAGAGTAAAGCAAAAATATTTCCTTAATTTCACCATGACATGACTTCAGGGCTCCATGCAGCAAATTGGCTAAATTGGAGAGACTGAGAAAACTTGCAAGTTTCTTCTGTTTTTTTCTGAAAGGAGTCCTGTAAACAAAACAAACAAGCCCTTGTAAGGAGCCCCTGAACCAAAGTCCAGTTTCTACTCCAGGTTCCTTAGAACCCTCATATAGAGTTTCCTGTTGGGAAAAACACTGGCTTGTCCTTCTTGCAAGGGTCTTGATTAACATGAAGAAAACAGAAAACATGGTTAAAGGGCATGGTGACAGGGAAGAAGAGGCAACAAAAAGGGATTTAGCTAAGTTGAAGATGTCTGGCTCCTACATGGTATAATACTTTTACATACCATCCCACTCTCCAAGCAGGGAGACACTACAGGGCTTCCAGCACTTACCAAGGGTTTAGTTTCCTCAGGATGAAGGTCAGCAGAGGCTGTGCTGTTTTTAGGATATATGGTTTTATTTACACAAATATACAACCCAAGCATAGGATGGAGGGGCTCATAGCAGTAACACTCCCAAAGATATTGCTTCTCCATTAGTCACAGCTTTGGATCTAGCACACAGCAAAACAGGTCTCTCTGTCTGAAGCTTCTAGCCTTTTGCTCTCTCACACATAACTGTCTAGTCCAGCCCCACTTTGACCTGTGGTTCCCCATTACTTAGCTGTAGGTATTGCAACCTAGCTCATTCTCTGAGATGCTGATCAGGACACTTAAGTGGTCAGCTAAGACCAGTGTCTTAGATAGAAACTTGTATGACTGGTTCAGCAACCTCCTTTACTGGATTCTAACCCTCCTTGGATACAAGACACCAATAACTGGAAGGGATTCAGGGCACCATCCAGACCGACACCCTCCCAACCTCACAAGAATGCCAATATTGCAATGTAGGTAACACCCACAAAATAATGTGATAAAGCGATATGCCCTCAAATATCAAGCTGGTCTCTTGCTTGTAGTCAAGTACGTTTAGGGTGCCCCCTGCTGGGAAATATAGTTGGAAGACAGGAAATAAGAAGAGAAAGAAATGTTAAAGAGGAGGGTTGGCTGGAATATCCAAGACCAGTGTTTCCCAAAGTGGGTTACTATCAGACAACTCTTATACTTCCTTATGTACCTGTAGAAAATAGATTTCACTGTACATATATTATTTTGTAAGATCTCTTTCAAAAGGTTATATTATCTTTTATATTCAAAGTAGGATTTATAAATAACCTTTTATTGGGATTCAGTGCCTGGATAACATCTAATTATTCTAGGTCAGTGGAATATTATTTGATGAAGGGATTTTGAATTTCCAGAGCTAGAAAGTCTTTCCCCTGTTCTCAGCATATAGTTTTAAACTGCTTGATCATTTTGTTGATATCACTAAAGCTTTTTATAATGGTCCCATAAAAATGTAAATGCCATGTGTTCTATCTGTTTAAGAGAAAAGAAAATTTAGATTTTGATGAATATAAGCACCTGTCTTTTGGGAACTGGGGCAACCCCACAATTTCCTTTCACAAAGGTCACACAATTGCCATCTACTGTGAAAAGGTCATGGCCAATGTGGCCCTCCAACACAGAATATATATATACACACACACACATGCATGCACACATTTCCATTCCACAGTTCATTTCTCATTGCCAGTATATAGACTGAATTGCCTAATAGGTGCAGATTCTAAATACTTTTACCACGATATGTGGTTTTCTCCACAATTGTTTCCCCAATATCTGTGCATGAAAAGTCAGTTGTTGAGTGTTTTATGCTTATATCCTTAGGAAAGATATATATGGCACTAAACTCAAAATGAATATTCTGTGCCCTGAAAAACTATTGCTATCTTACTTGATGTGATACAATGCTGTCCAGCAGTAATAGGTATTTATCACTTTGAGAAAAGAAGTGGGGCACGCGGGCGGGCAGTAATCTCTACTTGCATTTAAACTGCAGCAAATATGGACTACAGCCACAAAAGTCCTCAATTTACACTAAATGTATATCTTCAAGTGTCAAATCTCTGCACTGCACTGCTCCATGAAATACAAATGTAATAGTTAAATGTCAAAAGAAAACACTAAATAGAAATACTGCCACTTCAGCAAGATAAGTAAATGGGTTCAGGCATGTTTTTGAAGTTAGTGAAGCAATAACTCCATGACCTAAAGCATTCAGTATCCCAGTCTGGTGAGCAGTCAACGTCTCCGACAGGAAGAAATGCGAAATTTGGAAAGCTGATGAGAAAAATGCACATGTTCATGCACTATCAGCACAAAGTTATTTAGCACAATTGCTCCTGTAATTGCAGTACATTGCAAATGTTCAGTGTTCAATGGTCCTCGAAACTCAAACTTCCAATTGGTTGATGATGGGTTGTGCTAGTAGTGAACACTGAACTGTGAAGTATTAAATTCTGGAATTTTCAACCTGAAATCTGTTCCCCACCTCCAAGTCTACTGTTCTTTTTCTGCGGGTGTATATTGCTGTCCTCCCTTATCTTCGTTTACCTGAGGAATCTACAGTTAAATATGAGTTCCAGTGTCTAAACTCATATATCTGAACTGATGGCTGGAGTGCTTTTCACTTACATATTATACTAAAACCTTACAGAGCCTTATTCTTCATTACGGAAAGCATCTTATTCAACAGAAAAATCAGTGTTTATATAGGAGTAAATCAGGTGAAGACTACCCAAAATCTTGCAGTTTTACTGAAGCGGATGAACAATAAGAATAACTCCCTTACAGCTTGAATGACAGAACATATCATGTACAAAACACACAAAAATGAACACCCACCTTTTTTGCAGCATCATTTGTGATGGGGGGGGGGGGATCCTTCTAAGTAATATACTGGCACTGTGGAATATTATCTCAATTTATGGCTGCCAGCAGGCAAAAGCAAAAAGTGACTTAAAGGAAAAGGAGGCAAGCCCTCCACTACCTTGCAGCCATATCAGTAAGTGCATAATGGTATGTTATACTTCCATTGGTGAGTGGGTGCATTTTGCAACACAATTAAATACAAAGCCTCAAAGAGAAGGATAGCCTCAAATGAAAACAAAGTTCCATTTTCTGCAAATCAAATATCTTTTGCTCCAGCTGACAAATTTCAGTGGAAATATTCAAACTACCAAGAGCATGGGTAGGCAAACTAAGGCCCAGGGGCCGGATCTGGCCCAATTGCCTTCTTAATGCAGCCCACGGACGGTCTGGGAATCAGTGTGTTTTTACATGAGTAGAATGTGTGATTTTATTTAAAATGCATCGCTGGGTTATTTGCAGGGCAAAGGATTGCGTTCATTTTTTCCCTTCAAAATATAGTCCGACCCCCCACAAGGTCTGAGGGACAGTAGACTGGCCCCCTGCTGAAAAAGTTTGCTGACCCCTGACCATAGCTGTCAACCTTCCCTTTTTTTGCGGGAAATTCACTTATTCCAGCACCGTTCCCCGCTGTTCCCCGCTGCTATCACGGATTGTTAGATATCCCGTAGACTGTCCCCGGGACAGGTGAGGCTGCTGATCCCTTATTTTCAAATCTGAAAGTTGACAGCTATGCCCCTGACCAAGAGGAATATGCCTGTTATTATGCCTGAAATACCAATGTATTGCATGATGCTTAGGTTAGTGCCTTAATACAACTGAAAAATTAGAAATGTACTCAGGTCTTGCTAACCACATGCTCTTTATGCAAAAATTCCGCACATTAAAAAATATGCCAAAACCTCACCATATGCTCAACAGATTCATTAAGCTGATCTGTCAACTTTCTTACTTCCTTGAATATTTCTGCTTTGCTGGTTGGCAGCAGCCATTTTGAGGCAGAAACCACAGAGAGAGGGAGGGAGATTGGACGAATCAGAGAGCAGGAGAGACTGGACAAATCAGGGAGTAAAAGTTCAGAGAAATCAGGTTTTTTTTACTCTGTCTCTCTTTTGCTGATTGGTTGTAGCCATTTCAGGAAGAAACCATGATTGAGGGTCCGGGTATGTTTAGCCTGGAAAAGAGGAAATTGAGAGTAGATATTTGAAGATGGCTGTCATATCTCAAGGGCTGTCACATGGAAGGTGGAGCAAACTTGTTTTCTCCCTGCTCTGGAGGACAGGACCCAAAGCAATGGCTTCAAGTTACAAGAAAGGAGAATCTGATTAAACACCAGGAAGAACTTTCTTACGGTAAGAGCTGTTTGACAGTGGTACAGACTCACTTGGAAGTGGGTGGACTCTTCTTCCTTGGAAGTTTTTAAGCAGTTTGGGTGGCCATGTGTCCTGCAGGGATGCTTTAGTTGAGATTCCTGTATTGCAGGGGGTTGGACTAGATGACCCTCAAGGTCCCTTCCAACTCTAGAGTTCTAAGATTCTTTGGTTCTATGATTCTAAGTACAGGTCAAAAAGAGTGATAAACTAACAAGTCCTGTTGGAGCAGAATTCCCATTAAATGTTTCCAATGGTTTCTTGCATATTAATGATCTTAGCATGTTGAACATGCCTGGTTCTCTATCTCTTTCTCCCCTCCTTCTTCTTCTTCTTCAGTTTATATTGTAGCCTTACTGGAGTTCACTGATTGGGTCTGCGTTGCTCCGTGACAGGGGGAAGGAAGTCAAAATGACACCGAGTTGGTTCAAAGAAAGAGTTTATTCTCTTTTGAAAGAACAAAAAGGGGGGGGGGGTTGAGTCAGTTTTTAAACTTACTACACAGAAACCCATTCCTTCAATATATTCTACTACTTTGTGAAAACTGATCTTTATCCTTGGTTATTTTTGTATGATAGTGCAGTCTTATCTATATGATACTGCTGTTTTTGTATAACTGTACTCTACAATTTATACCTGTGTAGTTAAAGGTAAATAATGCATTAATAGATCCAGTTGGTGGAAGTGACTGGGGAACAGCATACAGAAATACATGACTACCTAACTGGATCCTTTTGTGTTAATGACCTTTCCCTGACTATTTTTAGAAATCCAGTGCATCCATATTCTTGCCAACCACACTGTTGCAAACTGACATCCATATATGGGTCCATAATAATGCATCCCAATAACCATTTTCCTCCAACATATTTGGATGGACTGTTTTATACTACTAGCTCTCTCCACATATACAAATGTTTCATTTCCCTCTCAACTTTTTGTTATTGTTCCTTGTGACCAAGAGCAATTACTCCATTTAAATAGTATCATGGTATTTACCAGATAATGGCAAAGAATATTATATTCCTCTTACATTACATATCCTTCCTTTGCATGGCAGCAATAGAGACAAATTAATGCTTTCCTTTTAGTGACATTGACAAGGCTAGCTTTATTATTATTATTATTATTTATTGAATTTATATACCGCCCTATACCCAGAGGTCTCGGAAGTTCACAGAATAAAATCAAAATATAAAACTACAAAATACATAATCAAAATAAAAACAACAACCCAATAACCCCCCCCCCAAAAGCTCACCACATTTTAAAAGGGCAAGTGTGTGGATCTGGTCTGCGACTACTCGCTCCAGAATCTTGCTCAGGAGAGGGAGATTAGCCTTGTTTCTATAGTTTATTGTTCTAGTGGTATTTTGAAGTATCGTAGAGACAAAGAAAAAGTAAAATTAAATTTGAAAATTGAGTCAACACAACAAATCTGAAATAAAGAGAAGGTAGGAATTTAAATCTAAAAGGCCATAATACAGTGCACCAGGTAAACACTTAAATTCAATTGAATTCAAAGGAGTTTTAAGCATGGCTAACCCCATGCTAGATTGTGGCATTTATCTATATTTAATGTGAAGCAAATAGGATAGCAAGCTGCACTGGCAAGTGGGTCAATACTATTTAAAAATATGACTTGCTGGTTGTGAATTTTTACAGAGCTAAGAGTTATATATTGTAAGCTCCAGCATTTGTTTTGACATAAAATGTGAGTTGCTGGGTAAAATATCAACAGTAGTCAGGTCAGGAACTACTGCTGATCAGAGTGGACTGTCCTAAGCATTGGTCTATCTTCCCCAGTCTGAGTATAAAATATATCTTCCTATATACATCAAAATGTATGGCTGTCATTGCACAGTCCCCACTAAAGGATTTGTAGTGAGTGCTGTATCACAATCTTGGATTTGCATAATGCCAGGGTGGGATTCAAAAGCAAAAGAGAAGGCAGGTTATACAAAACCAGTGGCCATGCATTGGAGCCAGAAGGGAGTGACAATGAGAGGGGGGAAGTGGTGGTTTAAAGAAACAGCAGAAATTTGAGTAATGCAGGGATGGATCTTAGCATGTGACAGGTGGCTTTAATGACAGAGGTTTGAGTAAAGTACTGTGGGATATTTGAGGATTCTGCATATTTCTCTGTCGTATATGAGGCAGTTAAGAACTGGAAGATGGAGACTTCAGTACAGTGAGAAGTGAGAGACACTGAAAGGGAGGGGAAGTGGCTGTTTTAAACAGCAGTAGTTTGAATAAAGCAGAGGTGGAAGGACACAGAGGCAAATGGTGGTTTTAAACCACAACAGAGGTTCCCAAGATACTAGCCACTAATCTTTCACTTCACTTTTTTTTAGCTATTAAGAGTTCCAGAAACTTGTATGCCTTGCTGGTGTGCTTGAGGCCTCTGCTCCCAAACCAGACTTGATATTCCTGTATGTAAATGAACTCTTTGCATTAGTTTTTCTGACATGGCTTTGTCATTCCAAATTTCCACTGTGGCTTTATCCATTTACTTCCAAAAGTATGTGAAGATCAGTCTAGCTTCTATTAGCAAGAAACCAATTAGTTATTCCCTTTAACCATCCAAATTTTGACCATCCCAGATGTTCAAGATTACCATGGTGGGAATTGGTTTATCTTTGTGGGTAATCAGTTGGATTTCTTCAATTATCTGACACCAGACAATTGCCACTTTAGGAGAATTCTACCATAAGTGGAATCATGTGCCATTTTCAGGGTCCACATCTCCAGCATTTTTGTGAAAATATCCAGGAAGTGAAATATGCCAGCAAGATTCCTTCATATATTATTATTTTTTCAAAATCAGTAGTTCGTTCTGAGACACACAAATTCAATTTCTTGGCCTTCTTCACTTGGAGAAATGTAGCCTTTATGTAGATTCTGCATATTATCACATGGAGATGTATTCCTATGTATTCCTGAGGTCGGCAAAACACTTATTGTGGTCTACCTGATTACAGGCTGGGTGTGGGTGGCGTGCCAACTGGAAACACTGACAGGTGCTGCTGTCTTAGCTGGGTCTTCTACATATCTCCAGATATGTGCAAAAGTCTAAAGGAAAGTTAATGGACTTCATTATTTTTGGTCTCCTACTCCATTGGTCAATTCACCTCAAGAGCAGCCAATGTGAACCATCAGTAGCATAGCACAAGGTGGTGGGAAGCAGTGCACTTCTTGTGATGGTACTCATCTCATGTATATTGTCACCTCATTTTTACTGCCAATGGCAGCCATGTTGTGCTGGCACAGCACTTTTATCAATATATGCATCAGCACCTCGTTTCTTACTGAGAAAATAATCCCTGAGGGCAAGATTTTTCAAATCATTTAAAAAACAACAACACCATTATAGTTGTCGCCAGCTTTTTCTAGAAATCTGGTGAACTGACCAGACATCTCCATTCAGGCAGCTGGCTGCATTTGTCTGTGACTTCAGTGGTGGTGTCAGCAACATTGCAGGTGAAGAGGAGCACTGAGTCCCAGTCAGAACTCTGCAGCTCAGACATGCTGTATTGCTGTTCAGCTCCTCATAATAACCTAGATCCAGGTGGGCATGTGTGACTAGACAAGTTTCTAGGGACTGTGGTGAGCGGATGGAATAAGCAAGAAACATCCAGGATGCAAGTGTGTAATTAGCAGGAGAGAAGTAGGTGCTCAGTGGATGCATTTCATGGTAGAAGTGGTAGGGCAAGTGGGAGTGACCCTCACCCTTTCAGCTCTGGGAATATTAATGGATGAATGGGACAGAATGAGGCAAGCTTGCAGGTCTGTTCTCTAAACAGTTACTGTATTTTTCGCTCTATAAGACGCACCAGACCATAAGACGCACCTAGTTTTTGGAGAAGGAAAACAGGAAAAAAAATATTCTGAATCCCAGAAGCCAGAACAGCAAGAGGGATCACTGCGCAGTGATCCCTCTTGTTGTTCTGGCTTCTGGAATAGCTGCACAGCCTGCATTCGCTCCCTTACTTTTTAGGAGGGAAAAAGTGTGTCTTATAGAGCAAAAAATACAGTATGTATCGAAACCTGTGAACGTAGCCTACTACATATCTACAAGTTGTATGTGCATTTTGCAGGACTGGGCAAATGGATCTTGGATTCTCAATGGATCTTGGATCTCCGAGTTTGTTTTTTAAAGTGTAGATTCTGCAAGTCCGAAGTCCGTCTGCCCTTGATGTTACCTGCTCCACCCCTCCCACAACTATTCTTAAGACTTTTCAGGGAATTGCTTTAGCATCCGAGCATAAGGCTTTTATTTAAACTGGACGCACTTGGACTGGAAAAGGAACTGTTCCAAAACGTTTAGGTTCAAATTTGAATTAGCTGTTAACCTTCAATGACTCCGTCTTCAATTTATACGGAAAGAGTTTGCCAGCAATACCATCTTCTCTAACCTTTTGTGCTGCTCTTTGAGGCAATTCTGTGGCAAAAGGCTTCTTGAAGTCCAAGTAGATTATGTCTGTTGCTTCATTTCTGTCAGTTGTCATTGTCACTTCCTTGAAGAAGTTAATCAGATTTGTTCAGCTTGACCTCCACTTTAAATGGCTTTGACCTGTCTAAGTCTGTACCTGTTAAAATGTTCTCAAGTTTTGTCCTTACCCAGTGATTCTGAAACCTTCTTCCGTACTTTGATCCCATTCTAAATATAGATGTCATGTATGCTACCTTCATGTTCCTAGCCTATTACGCTTATTATCATATCAGCAGGGAATTAAATGTCTCTGCCATTGTTTCCTTCATTTCATATTTTCATATTAAGGAAACAAGAACATTAGTCTTTCAACATGTCATTGTTGCTGCTGTTATTTATTAAATTTGTATACCGCCCTTCATCCAATGATCCCAAGCTAATTCACAACAGAAAAATGCAAAATGAAAATACAAAATAGATTTTTAAAAAACCCCAATAACCCTCACCATACTCTCTTTTTTTTCCTTCCAACTTCAACACTTTTTCATTTTCCTCTGAAGGTGCTTCTCTCGTGTACTCTTTTTACCCATGTTTCCACTGCCTTTAAATGAAAACAAATTGAAGCCATACCTCACCAACATTTATTGATGTTCATATATATGCTGCAGTATCTTCAGCTATTGCAAATGGCTTTTCCCCTTGGATCTTGGAAGTATTTGAAGCAATCTAGGATAATTGCTTCAGTCACCAGTGGATACAATCATTGTTTGTTGTTTTTCCAAATATGTTTAGAAACCATTATACTTTTTCTTAGATAAAATAATAAGAGTGAAACCTTATGCTGGATTTAAACTTGTTGGAGAGTGTTATAATGCAGACTACTAGCTCCCTGTACCTAGACACCTTGAAGTTACCCTGTTGTATTGGCAAGCTAACCCACCCATCAGCAAAGGGGCCATAAATGCTTGGGAATATGTCAGGGGAAGAGTGGCATTTAGTCAGTTCTGAAGCTTTCGAAAACATCAGTGGAGATTCAGCAAAAAAAGGTCCCACAATACAGAATACCATAATAGCAGGGCCAGATTTAGCTTTGATTAGGCCCTAAGCTACTGAAGGTAATGGGGCTCTTTATATGTCCAGCTCTCCTTTGGGTCAACAGCAAATTGTTGCTGTTTTTTGTGTTGGGTATATGCTATAGGGTAATCTATGGACCTAATAGGTATCTAAAGCCATTTTCACATAACAAAATATGTATTTTATCAAAGCTGCTGTATGTATGTTTTATTTTATTTATTTTTTATCTTATATTTTGGAAATGAACATCCAGGTTTTTCCCCCTTTAATTTTTTTGGGGGCCCCCAAGAGAGTGGGGCCCTAAGCTATAGCTTGTTTAGCTTATACATAAATCCGGCACTGCATAATAGACAAAAGCCAGGGTAAAGAGGTGTTTCTTCAGCTATGCAATGGCTAGAGGAACCACTGTCGGGAGGGAGTTCCATGAGTTAGGGGCACCAGAGAAAGCCCTCTCCTAGGCTACTATCCCTTGCATTTCTGTGGGTGGTGAAACTACTCGCATAGTGGTTCCTTCCTTCACACTCTTATGCAATAAATGGAGTGAAGCAACTTGCTTAGTTTGCATGGGAGAAGGAAGAAATAAAAGAGATGAAGGCAGAAGGAGGAGCAAAAGAGGGTTCTAAATGCTAATCCCTGTGGGTCATAAAGCTTTTACTCTCCACCTTCTATTCCCCCTCTCCACAACATTTCCTTCTCTCCTCACAGGAATGAGTGATTATTCGTAAGAGGGAAAGGAACATGCATGTAGGGCAAGATTTAGGTATGTTGGAGTGGGGCCTGAAAACCACTCCACACACCCCTCAGGTTTTGTTCTCTGCCTCCATAGGAGCTAAAGTTCAATTTAGTTCCTTTGGGAGGAGGAAAAAGCTCAAAAAAGGCTCAAAAAATAGATTCTTAATGTGTAAGACATAAGAAGGGAACAGTGAAAGTTCATCAGTTTGCCAGAGGTCAGTTATGAAGTCAGTTGTGCATTACTACCTTTTAGCTAAGTCATAAGTTTGACACAGAGAAATGTCATGATGATGCAGGTGATGAACATTTTTGGGTTCAGTCATAATGATATAGAGCACTTGGAGCTGCTAAGCACTTAAGCCAGTGCTTAGCTTTAAGCATCTGAACAATCTTGCTCATTAAATGGATCTAATCATGTGTTCTGTGCTCCCTCTACTGGTTTAGCGGCAGGTGACTTGTCTGACAAATGCCCAGAGCTGGGTTGATGAAGTTATTGTAGAGCAATGCTGGTGCTAAGACCAAAGTGTTAAAATAGCACATGAATATTCAGACCTGTAACTTATATGTCCAAATACTCTCAGGAGTTAATAAGCTGCTCCTTAGGCTGTCTTCCTCCAATTGTCCCATAAACTTATCCATGCTATACTAAGGACTTAGTGATTTTGTTGTATTGGGATATGTTTTTATTGCTTGTATTTTTAACCTGGTTTCTAAATAAAAGGTAATACGCTGTGAAATATACAATGTAAATTAATGCACCTATGAAAAAGAGAATGAAAGCTATATTTTTGGCTTTGGAAGACATTGGTTGGAAACTGTGATATGGCTGTTTTATTCTGATAACTTTTAGTAAAAAAGGGGGGGGGGCTGACAGAAAGGCTGATATAAAATCCCCAAATCTTCTATGTATATGTCAAGAGGGAATACTTAAAAACTTTAAAATAAGAGCTATGACAGAAAAGGTTTGCTGGAAACCTGCTTGGGACAAATAAAATTCTTGTTCTCTCCCCCCCCCCCAAATAAAGTTATAGAACAATGATAGTCTAATCAATAGCCGAGAGTAATGTTGCAAATGTTACAGGAATTAAACCAGTATAAAGCCAGCGGCATTTAGGGCTGGAGAACAAGGCCCATTAATCTTTTCCTTTTGATGGCTTTCCCAAGAGGTTGCAAAATGTACAGCAGGAAAGTTCGTGCAAGGCGTTTGCAGAAAGAACATAAGCGAAGTCTTCTGAACTTGTTGTGAGCACTTCTGAACAGCAGAACATGCTGACAAGATGCAATGTGACCCCTCATCATCAGGAGGCTGTAACTCTCCCAAGTTCATTTAAACAGCAGCATTTTATTGCAGCTAGGTGTTATGCACTATACAAAAACAGTTTTAATTTTATTTCAGACTCTCTTGCCATTCTATTATTTCCCTCTCTAAATAACTTTACATTGCTCTAGGGATGATACTCAGACCTTAATGGTGAAAGGGATGTTATAAGGATCCAAACAAATCATTTGGTTGTTAGAAATGATAATTAGATTGCCCTCTAAATTCTTCTTCTTCTTCAAGAAATCCTAGGAAATAATGCATTCCATCTTTAGAAATCAGCCAAGGAATAATTCAAAAATTGAACCACATAAATTATTAACTTGGTTCAATTTTAGAAGAGAAAAATAGACTCAGGGTACATATTCAGCTGTAGTCTGTGAAAATTAAACCTGCAGCTCTATTTATTTTTAATGGAACTTTTGTGCTAAATTATTCTTGATAGGTCACATTGAAAACTTTGTACTTGGTGTTTGTGTGTGATTTCCTCCTTGAGATTATGGCATAATACATGTATCTTAGGCCAACAATTAATATTTATTTAGGCTTTGTTTATGCTGCAAAATTGTGAGAGCAGTTTGGGGTTTTCAACTTAGATAACAATCCCTGTACATGTGCAGCAGAAATTCAAGAACAGTTCAGCCACATACTGTTGAGCACCACAGCAGTTTATTCACGGGCTACTCGATCAAAATGCCAAGATCAAAAATGCCCACTATTGTTTTTAACATTTGCTTATAGATATAAAAGGCTAAAGCCTTCATGTTTTTATTTCATTTATTTATTTATTCCACAACATTCATATACTTCTGAATTGCAAGAAAACTGCAAAGCGGGCTGCATAAAGAATAAAGCAATTAATATCAGTGGTAAAAAAAGAGTTTTAGACAGTATTTAAAACATTAAAAAATTAATTTAAATCAACAATAAACTACCGTATTTTTTGCCCTATAGGACGCACTTTTTCCCCTCCATAAATGAAGGGGAAATGTGTGTGCGTCCTATGGGGCGAATGCAGGCTTTCGCTCCCATGGCTTGCGGAGAGTTGCCTGTTCTGGGGGCTGGGGTCGGGGGAAGCTCGGGCTTCCCCCACCCCAGCCCCGTGCCTGGGGAGGAAAATAATTCCCCCCCCTTTATTTCCCCCCCAAAAAACTAGGTGCGCCATATGGGACAGTGCGTCCTATAGGGCGACAAATACGGTAAAACTAGCTTAAAAGATGTTGCACTTTCTACATGCCTAGAGAGGCTTGCCTAGACTTGCCTTGCTGGGGTGGTGGTGGTGGATTTTGACCTCATAGAGGGCACCATACTACCCAAGTCTGCCCTTGTTAAGTGTGTGTATTCATGCATTGTGTGTGTTTGTATGTGCTATACGTATACATGTGGATATGTCGGGGGGAGTCATTCCTACTTTGGCTATGCACACTATTGTCTTGGCCACACCCACCATTTCCATGCAGATGCTGGGGAGTTGGTCAATAGTGAATGCAGCCCTTGAGGCAAGAAAGTTTTCCCACCATGACAACTATCTAAAATTCCCCTACCATAAACATAATATTTTCTGTTATAGAATTGTAGAGTTGGAAAGGATCCAAAGGGTCATCTAGTTTAACCCCTTGCAATGCAGGAGTCACAGCTAAACCCTAACCTTGTGGCACTCAAATCAGAAGCGTTAACACTCAAATCGTCAGTATAATACTCAAAACAGATGTGTGGCACTCAAAACGGAAGTATGGCACCCAAAACAGAGCAAGTTTGGCTTCTGAAAAAAGTTCTCAAACCAGAACACTTACTTCCAGGTTTGCAGTGTTTGGGTTCCAAGTTGTTTGAGTACCAAGGCATTTGAGAACCAAGATACTACTGTAAAGCAGAATGGCACTGAATTAACAAGTAAAATAAGAAAACTAAAACTAAAAATTAAAAATATGTTGAGAATTCATGATTGAGACATACCTGTGTAGTAAATAATATACAAAAGTAAGCAGTATATAAATGGCTTAAAGCAGGGGTGTATCTACAATAATAAAGGTGAGACAACAACTAGCCTACTCACACATACATAGTTGATAACCGCCAGTCCCACTAATACAAAAAGTCTCTATAAAAACTTACGTGTCTGATCAGCATGTTTCCATCAAGAGGAACATAGAAAGAGGATGAGACCTATTCTGATGGCTGTTGGCAAATTAAGATACAAGTATTTTCCAACAGAGATTTAGTCAATCATATGAAAGCTGCTTATGGTCATCTTCTTGCTTGAAAATATTGTGGAGGCCTTAGAAATACCTTTGAAAACAAATCTAAATTGGCAACTAAGTTGATATGAACGATCACCAAAATTACTCAGCTGTGGGAGATGTCCCTGCATTTTAAAACTAGGTTACACAGGCCTCTTTATGTTAAAACTCACAGAAATAGTATCTGGGAGAGATTAGAGTATAATCAAAGCTAACGTGTTACATGGGCACCAATGGTTAACTATTTGGTGGGTTCCCATCTTTCTGAGACTTTTCTTGGGGTCAGGGAAATGATTTTTTTATCTATTAGAGAAGTAGTAGAAAAAAACTAATTACAAATTTGGTTGTAGCCAATTGCACTCACTCATTTTGTAGCTGCAAAATCAACCACAGCTCAGGCTGCTTGACAGGTGTTAAAGATCAGCAGCTGTAGAAACAGACTGATAGCTACATTAAAGTTCCACACCTGCAGGAGAAGAATCATTCATTCATTCATTCATCCTGGGAACTTTGTCCTTTAGCTATAAGACAAGGTTTTCTTTTGGTAAATGTGTTGCTCTACTGTTTCTAAGTAAACAGTGATAGTAATTAAAGCTGTTATGTCTCTTCTAGGCTAAGTGAACATCAGTAATAAAGTTGGGAGGAAATACAACCCACACTTTAATTGGCCAGATTTGTAATTTTTCTACTGTAGAGGATGAAATGTTGGTGAATAAAGAAAGAGGCAGTAAATTCTTCTTATTGCACAGGAAATTGCTTTAGCACTTAGTTTTAAATGCAATTCAAAGTGACATGTTATTAAGAAAAAGAGCTCATGACAAGAAAAGTTTATTCCAGTAAGACATAATGGAACTTTACTGAATTTTATTATATGAGTTTGCTGAACTATCTGTAATGCATAAAATAATTGCAGAGAACATGGGCATTAGTGGAGTAGGTTAAGCAATGTATAGGATGAATCTGAACTGGTTGTTTTGATAAAATGTACCATCGTCTAGGCCAGTGGAAGTGATGATATTCCAGCTGAACTATTTAAAGTTTTAAAAGATGATGCTGTTAAGGTGCTACACTCAATATGCCAGCAAATTTGGAAAACTCAGCAGTGGCCAGAGGACTGGAGAAGATCAGTCTACATCCCAATCCCAAAGAAGGGCAGTGCCAAAGAATGCTCCAACTACCGCACAATTGCACTCATTCCACACACTAGCAAGGTTATGCTAAAAATTCTACAAGGCAGGCTTAAGCAGTATGTGGACCGAGAACTCCCAGAAGTGCAAGCTGGATTTCGAAGGGGCAGAGGAACCAGACACCAAATTGCAAACATGCGCTGGATTATGGAGAAAGCTAGAGAGTTCCAGAAAGACATCTACTTCTGCTTCATGGACTATGCAAAAGCCTTTGACTGTGTCGACCACAGCAAACTATGGCAAGTTCTTAAAGAAATGGGAGTGCCTGATCACCTCATCTGTCTCCTGAGAAATCTCTATGTGGGACAAGAAGCTACAGTTAGAACTGGATATGGAACAACTGATTGGTTCAAAATTGGGAAAGGAGTACAGCAAGGCTGTATATTGTCTCCCTGCTTATTTAACTTATATGCAGAATTCATCATGCGAAAGGCTGGGCTGGATGAATCCCAAGCCGGAATTAAGATCGCCAGAAGAAATATCAACAACCTCAGATATGCAGATGACACAACCTTGATGGCAGAAAGTGAGGAGGAATTAAAGAACCCTTTAATGAGGGTGAAAGAGGAGAGCGCAAAATATGGTCTGAATCTCAACATCAAAAAAATGAAGATCATGGCCACTGGGCCTATCACCTCCTGGCAAATAGAAGGGGAAGAAATGGAGGCAGTAAGAGATTTTACTTTCTTGGGCTCCATGATCAGTGCAGATGGTGACAGCAGCCACGAAATCAAAAGACGCCTGCTCCTTGGGAGAAAGGCGATGGCAAACCTAGAAAGCGTCTTAAAAAGCAGAGACATCACCTTGCCAACAGAGGTCCATATAGTTAAAGCCATGGTTTTCCCAGTAGTGATGTATGGACGTGAGAGCTGGACCATCAAGAAGGCTGATCGCCGAAGAATTGATGCTTTTGAATTATGGTGCTGGAGGAGACTCTTGAGAGTCCCATGGACTGCAAGAAGATCAAACGTATCCATTCTTAAGGAAATCAGCCCTCAGTGCTCACTGGAAGGACAGATCGTGAAGCTGAGGCTCCAATACTTTGGCCACCTCATGAGAAGAGAAGACTCCCTGGAAAAGACCCTGATGTTGGGAAAGATGGAGGGCACAAGGAGAAGGGGACGACAGAGGACGAAATGGTTGGACAGTGTTCTCGAAGCTACAAACATGAGTCTGTCCAAACTGCAGTGGAAGACAGGAGTGCCTGGCGTGCTCTGGTCCATGGAGTCACGAAGAGTCGGACACGACTAAACGACTAAACAACAACAACAACCATCGTCTAGATCATGAGATAGTCATAACAAGAAAAAATGGGAATTCCATAGGATCTTCCAGGCACATACAGAGACCTTGTCCCAGTTACAGACAGTAAAAGAGCTCATGTATTTTTTTGCACTTACTTAGGAGTATGCTGTTCCCTATTTCCCTTATATTGCAGCAGTGGCACAAGCAATTCCCTACTCCTTTCACAGCAGCGACATAAGCAAAAGTACCAAATTCTCAGGCCAAACTAGGCAAGATACCATTTGTGAAATTAACAATTATGTGGATTACTGTTTTAGAAGTAAATAATTAAAAGCAAATAGTAAACATGAAGACCACAATCCAGATTGAGGACCTCAGCAGAAATTATGGGGGCTGTAGCACTGTTCCCTCATATGAATGGGATTTTCCCCTCAATAGAAAGCACCAAAGGGTATCTGGAGTCAATACCACTGCAATTTAAAGTCCACCCTGGTCCCACCAGTGTCCGAATCCAGAACTTCTCCCATGCCTGCTATTCACTTTCTAAAAGGCACCCATGCATTCTGTGAATGACACCTAATTTGGCCTTCACTGCGCTATGCCTACTGATATAGATCCCACTAAATATTATTTGCCAAGTGCAAAATTGTCCTTTTGCTAGGGAGACAATCTTAGAATTAAGTAAAAGGAGCAATCAGATGCTTTTCCATTCTCTCCAGCTCCATAAGACTCATGTTAAGCATATATGCTCATCAGAAACTGGAATGTTTGCACTGTGAATATTGCTGCTCCAGAACTGCATCAGATCATAACAGTGGAAATAGTGGATAAGATGTTTCCTTATGTCAGCTTTCAGAATCTACCACTAGATCTTATCAACTTCTTTTCTAAGCTTAAGCATTTGATTAGGCTGCTATAAGCATATGGTTTTAATAGTACTATGGTTCTGACCCTGATCATGATAACCAGCTGAACTATTATGATAGCCTTTCATTTAAAGAAGTGTACCGCACTGTAGTCTAAACCACAGAGCCTCTTGGGCTTGCCGATCAGAAGGTCGGCGGTTCGAACCCACGCGACGGGGTGAGCTCCCGTTGCTCGGTCCCTGCTCCTGCCAACCTAGCAGTTCAAAAGCATGTCAAAGTGCAAGTAGATAAATAGGTACCGCTCCAGTGGGAAGGCAAACAGCGTTTCCATGCGCTGCTCTGGTTCACCAGAAGAGGCTTAGTCATGCTGGCCACATGACCCGGAAGCTGTCTGCGGACAAACGCCGGCTCCCTCAGCCAGTAAAGCACGATGAGCGTCGCAACTGCAGAGTCGTCCACGACTGAACTTAATGGTCCTTTACCTTTACCAATAAATTATTATTATTTAAATATTATTATTGAGATTTTTTTACAATATATTACAGATAGCATTAACAATAGGCACATCACTTTCAAAGTGTGGGAAAAGAAAAGATACTTTATCCACCACACACACACAGCAAAAAACATGTCATTCAAGAAGCAAAAGGAAAAATGTCCCTCCAGAAAGAAGAGGTCAATGCTAGTGGTCTACGATACTGACCACCCACAGAAGCAAATCAATGGGGCCAGACATTAACAAATGCATCTGAATGTGGGATCACCTCTAGCTTTCCTGCACTCCTATATTAACTTTTCATCTAAGTCTAATTGCCGTAGTCTATTATACCAGCTTCAAAGAGAAACGTGTTAAGGACCCTTCTAGCTTGGTGCCACTTCCACGTGTGCTGCCTTGAATTATTCTTTAAAAATGCTTTCCAAATGCATAGGCAGAGTAAGGCAGGTGCCTCAGGAAGCAATTACTGGGAGGTGTGGAGTGGTGCCCCTAAATTAGCCTGCTGTTCTCTGTTGCAACAATGGACACCAGCAGTATTCATATAAGGTTCAGCTTCTAGTTTTGTCTACTTAATGTATATGAATGGAATGAAGAAGAACACCATCTTGCCTTTTGCCTCAGGCAGCAAAATGTCTTGAGCCGGCCCTGTGCATAGGACAACCAGATTTCTTTAAGCTTCAGTGTCTTTTGCAGCTTTATGTGTGTGGTAAATCCTAGGTCAAATAAAAAACGCCACTGAATTCAATATGGCTAGTATTTTACACTTGGGATACAGTCCCATGGACACTGAGTAGGGAGGGTAATTCACTGGACACAGTGGCAGTTACTTCTGAGGAAACATGCATAGGATGGCACTGCTGGAGCCTGTGATTCACCTTAACTGAGCTCAACTTTGTTCTCTGTGCATATGCAGCTGGAAAATAATAAAACAAGCTTTTAAAAGTCCTAGCTTTAATTTTTTTCATTCATCTTGATATACTGAATTACAAGAAGGAGGGTGTCTTTCAAGATAATCACATTCTGAAGTGCATTAGAAAATATTTCATGTGTCTCAGCTGACATGATTTATAGAACTATTGGATTTATAGCCTTCTGCTACTGTTTTATTTGCAAGATTTGTGGACAATGAAGGAAACAATTCTTCCTTTATAGAAAGAATTATACATGTAGGGAAAGGGTAAAAGTTGAAATGTCCTGGGAATATTGATACTTACATTTATGATATAATTAAAGAATACTAAAAATTGCTCAACAGAGTTAACTGATGAGGTCAAGAATAATAAATTAGATACTGATCTTAATAATACCTCCTCCTTTGTTTTCCTTTCCGCAGCAAGTTGACAGGCTTTGCAAGCCATAATAAATTTGAGTGCTTAAAGCTTCCTCAACAGCCATCACATCCTGATGTAACGCATAGCTTTTGTTTTCTTGTATGCATGGTTTATCCTTCTTTATGCCCCGTTGTTGTTTTAGAAATACAATCTAAACTTATTTAATTATATATTTTAGATTGCATCTTCCAAATGTAAAAATGTAAAAAAGTTCCTCAGCTTTAGGGGGGGAAATAAGGAAAGGAAACAATAGTTTTAGTGGTATGCTCACAGCTCTGTGTTGAATTCAAGCACAGTGATTTAACTGTGTTGTTTTTCCTTAAGTGCAGTTCATCCTCCCCATCCCTCTCTTCCCTTGGAATATGGGAAAACTTGTGGCTGCCTATGTTTAGGATCCTGTATATACAAATTAAGCCCCCAGGATAGCCAACGTGGTACTCTCTAGATGTTGTCAGACTACAGCTCCCATCAGCACCAGTCAACGTGGCCAATGATGAGGGATGGTTGAAGGTTACTGACAGTGACATGGGAGCAGGCTTGGTATTATTACCAAAGTGACAAGCAAAGAGGTCATTAGGATGCAGTTCTCATGCCACTGCACCAAAGTGTGAATTGCCCCTGCACTTAAAAGTTTACTGAAGTCAAGGCCCTCAGATTGAGGACGAAAGGTAAAAGATAAAGGTAAAGAACTTGGGGACCGTTAAGTCCAGTCAAAGGCGACAATGAGATGAGACGCTCATCTTGCTATTCAGGCTGAGGGAGCCAGTGTTTGTCCACATACAGCTTTCCGGGTCATGTGGCCAGCATGACTAAACCGCTTTTGGCACAATGGGACACCATGATGAGTGCCAGAGCATACGGAAACATCGTTTACCTTCCCACCGGAGTGGTACCTATTTATCTACTTGCACTGGCATGCTTTCGAACTGCTAGGTTGGCAGAAGCTGGGACAAAGCAATGGAGAGCTCACCCCGTCGCGCGGATTTGAACTGCTGACCTTCTGATCAGCAAGCCCAAGAGGCTCAGTGGTTTAGACCACAGCACCACCCACGTCCCTTTTGGGAATGAAAACCTGTATTCCAGAATGCAATGTGATACCTTCATAGGAATACACTGCTACAGCCATTGGAAAGGGCAAGGGAATAAAATACCAATAGTTCATAGTGCATAACAGTTAGAACCATAAGATGTTTTACCACTCACTTCAACAGAATGCAGCCACAGACGGTTGCCTTCATCCTTTGAAAGATGTTCAAATAAAATGTATGTACTGAGTGCTATATCAATAATAAAAAAAATACAAAACATAGCATTATGTCAGCAATCCAAGGACATTATATTGGAGTTCTAATAAAATACTCTATGCAAGGCTGTAAAACTGCACATCTTTGTATTTTCTGCGACCCACTCAAAAAGCCTTTCAAGTGAGATGGTGAAAGGTGGTTTGCGTACTAAAGGCCTGATCTGTTTATGCAAGTGCAAATCTAAAGAGTTCTGAAATAGGGGTCTTCAGTTCAGTGATACAATGAACATAATTGTTGTTTGTAACAATAGAGTTTTGTATTGGAAAACACCAGTTATCCAACAGATGTTGTCTTCATTTTTAGCTTTACAGCTGCTTCACAATCCTTTTGTGCAAGGATAAGAACAGGTGGGAGACCCAGCTGGACAGCATCATCTTCTTACACTGCAGCGTCAGTAATAAAAAAAAGAGCTGAGCCAACAAGTTCACCTTTTAAAAACATTTATAGAGACAATAGCACTCCTCCTTTCTTTTGCTTTCAAAAGAAAACACACTTTTTAATGAGTTGGACAAAGCCCACTTCCTCCAGAGTCCCAGTTGTCCTCAGAGCCTTATGGCAACTGTCCTCTCTGTGTGGTTTTAAGCCAGATTAAGCACTTACAGTAAAGATTCATTTAATATACATATTTCCCAAAAAGGAAAATGGAAAATGCCAACCACTATTAATGTAATAGTGCATTAATCGTTCACAAAGGGATTGGAAAGTATCGGTAAATAACTCAGAGCATGGGCTGCTTTATGACAAATTATTTTGTTCCCTACAACTATATACACTGTATATGATGTGTTGCTTTTGGATATCATCAGCATTCATAGCTAGGATCTTGCTATCATTCATCAGTGGAAAAGCCATAACACTGAGCCCACAATAAAGATTTATCTGACAGTATATATTTCCTCTGGCTTCATTTCCACTGACAACAATGTATGCTTGGCTTAGGTTACATTTCACATAAAATATCCATATCCATATTTGGGCGAGGTAGTAGTTTGATAATGTTACCGAAATGTAAATGTAAAGAAAAAGAAAAAAATAGGAATATGCATCCACATATATATATATATGGTTGGGTTCCAACTTAACCATAATTTCAGTAGAGCCACTAAAATTAAATCAATGGGACTTGTAAGTCATGATTAATTTAAGTTCCATTTATTTCAGTGAGTGTACTCTAAGCATGACCAAGTTTAGATCAAACCCATTTACCCATTATTTTCTAAATGTAGCCAAAATAGTGTTAATTGTTACCCATGTTCTAAAACTGTAGGGATAGTGCTGCTGGCTTTATTTTGTCTGTTTAGATTATTATTATTATTATTTATTAATTAAATTTCAATACTGCCCTTCACCCAAAGATCACAGGGCTGATCACAATATAAAAAACACAAAAAATAGATCTCATAATAACAAACAAAAACAATATCTCCCCGCCCACGCACAGTTTAAAGGCCATGGATTGTTTAATCAGCCAAAAGGCCTGGAAGAAGATGAATGTTTTTGTCTGGTGCCTAAAGATGTACCGTGCAGGCGCCAGACCAACCTCCCTGGAGAAGGCATTCCACAAGCAGGGAGCCACTGCAGAAAAGGCCCCGTTCTCGTGTTGCCACCTTTGACAACTTCTCAGTCACGTTGTGAATCTTTGCACCAAGAAGACAGCACACCTTCTGGGACATCTTGTTACCTCTACACACTTCTGCCTCTGTCCTCCTCAGTAGGAAATTCAGAGGTCTGGGTGAAGACATGATGCCCCCAGTGCTAGACTTCTTATCAGTTATTTGGGAGGCTTAATAAGGAATCCTAGTGGTTCACACACAGCTGGGGGGAAGCATGTAATAAAAGAGTTCTGTTCATTTTCTTCCCCTCACTTTGTATAATATTCATCACCTTAGATCACACAGAACATTCAAAAACCTTTTTTTTTAAAAACCACACCTTGCAATGTGCATCTCATGTTTTATTTATGGTCTATTTTTATTCAAAGCTGTCCTCTTTTCCAGTGAAGACTGCTCACTTATAACAGCTTAGATATTATTATTACTTTTAAAAAAGTTCCATTTGCCTTTACTTATCCTTTGGCACTGTTATTTGGGAGAGGGGGAGCAATTGTTTTTTAATATGGTTTGTCAGGTTGCTTTTGTATTGTTTTTGCCACTTGATACCAAGTACGTCCATTTGTTGAAAGTTCATCCTTTTTTTTTTTAATTCTAAATAAAAGACATAACAGGAGTTTGATTTTTACAAAGCCCCTTTTTTGCTACATAGCCACATATGTAGCCACATTAGAAGCTGGGACCCCTAATCCAAACTGAATAAGAGGTTTAAAACTGAAGTGATACTTTACTGGCTTACTTCACTGACAGTATGTTTAGAAATTGCAACAATTGCCTTAGTGAGAATAATTTATTGTAATTGGAAGGCATGGGGTTTGCTTATGTCTGGAATAATGCTACTGAGCATGAGTCATCTACACTTCAGAAGAATGCAAAGAGGTAAAAATCAAATTTTGTTTGACACCTGGATAAGTGCCTTAAGGCTATAAAACTGATGGCCTTTGATTGGAACGGCATCAGTAAAAACTGTTGCCGACTGCGCTGGGAAGAACAGGTTGAATATGACTATCTGAGATATTCCTAGAATATGGAAGGAATAAATAGATGTCAAAGCGCTTGACAGGTGCTTCAAAGAGATAGCTGTAATTATTTCAGTCTCAAGGACACTTAACATAACAGGAAGCATTTTGGTCAATCTGTTAACACTGACAATTTATAAAGTAGTTTTCATTTTTCTTAGAGAACTCAGTGCTAAAAAACCACATAGAAATCAGGTGGCCAAGCTTCAGGCTGTTTTAAAATATTTAATTGTGAGCTGCGCAGTTTAGGACTTTGGATTTGTGCAGACTGGGGGGTGGCGGGGGCTGTACTCCAGAAGAAGCCAGCACATTTCTTGCCTTAAACATTACATTCCCTTGTGCATGCATGTGAGATACAGTATATCAATAGCTGTACAAATACTACAGACAACAGTACATGGCTTATCACTTCTAAGCTACACTCTTCTGCTCTGATATGAGCAACTAGATTTCCACTGAAGCTGTATCTACATGATGAGAATAATTAGCTGTTTTAGTCCACCTTTCCCCCTGACACTCTGCATCAGAAGCAGCTGATGCAATGAGCCTGAATCACTCTCCCAGTAATGGTATTGGTATTGTTCCAGCTTGGTATTGTTCTGAAACAGTGGTACTCAGGTTTTTGTTATACACAAGTATAAAAACGGTTAAGAATTGGAAAACTTAGAGGCGTCTAAACTTGACCCCCCTGCATGATGCTATAATCATCAGGATCATATTTGATCCACCATATTTGATCCACCAGGCCTATGAATCCAGCTCTCGGTGTTCTCTGGGAGCCATAGCCCTCTTACTGACTAACTGTTCTCTCATTGTCCAGGCAGGTAAAGCAGAATGCTCTGCTTTGCCACTGGCCACCTCCGATTTTTAAAAGTCTTCCAACTCAATCTTAATCAGAGTTCGCCATTCAGACAATACCAGCTGAAAGACTTGTGTGTTCAATTTCCTGCCACACATAGAGAGAAATATCTGTGTCCTCTCTACCTCCCTGCCTCATGTTTTCCTTTGCTTATGCTAAATCTTTGTTTAGCTGAAGACGTACTTCCCTTAGTGGTTGCTCACAAGCCCTTCCTTTTGTGGCTTCTCTTAGTGGCAGTAGGCTCACATCACCAGTGAAATGAACACCTTGCACAAATAAGAATGGGAGTCGAGTCTTACAGGATGTGCTTCGGATGTCTAGGTGAAAACATGTGGCTTTTCCTACGCTGCTCGGAGGGCAGGAAAATGCAGCAGTTTCATTTTGAAACATTGAAATTAGACAATAAAGACTCTTGAAAAATGTACATCTGGGGAACCGTTTTCAGCATCTCATATTCACTGAGCAGCATACAGGGCATTTTCATGTTATTCCTAATTGCTTATTTTCTCCTAATGCACTTCTTTCATTTCATGGTTTTTTTTAATGCATTCATGTCGTCACAAAGAAAGGCTTCCCAGTTTGTTTTGTAACTCGGTTTCTTTAAAAGTGTCCAGAGAAGACCCAGTTAAGCAAGGGTCTTCCCCTCAACATACATTTATTTATCTATTTTAAAGTATTTATATACCACTTACCATGTTCAAAAAACACAGACCCAATGGTGGCAGCTGTTGAGAAATAAGCTCTTCCAGTAGGCTAAACCGCTGGGCAGGATTAGAGAAGGGCTTTATTCTCATGAAAGCCAACAGAAAGTTCAAAAGCAATAAAAATGGTTCTTAAAAACCTTCACAGAGCCCTAGTTCCTATGTGCTTAGATCTTGGATGGGAGGAAATCTTCATACTTCCTACCATTACTGAGCAGTATTGTGAACTTCAAGGGCTCTCATACTAGCTTCCCATAAATTCTGTTTTCTACTGAAGTCTCCCAGCATCAGTGTATTTTCTTACCTTATCACAGATGTTTTTCCTGTGGGAAGGTGGGGAGGGGACAAGTTCCTCAGGTGCCATCTGTGGGTTCTGTTTTGCTGACTCCTGCTCACTGAAACAATAGAATGTAAGAAGATTCATTACATTACATTAGATAGTGAGATTCATGATAATGTTATCTAATCAGATGTAGTAAGATTCATGAACGTTAACTAATCAGATAATGAGTAGTTTACCAAAAAAATTCATTTATTTCTTTAAATGATTTACTGTATATACCACCCTTTGTACAAGCCACAGGCTGTTTACAATGAGGTCAGATGAGATAAAAAGAATACATAAGATCCACAGACAACACAGACTTTAAAATACACAACTTATAATAACTCACTTAATAGTAGTTTACTAATACCTGCTATTTAACTTTCTACACATTGATTGGTTTTTTATTTAAGACGTGGCAAAATATTTGGGTTACAATGGCTTATAGCCTATGTATTAATGTTTATATGCAAACAACATTATATAGTGTTGAATTCATAGTAGTTATTGGAGAACTCAAAAAAAACCCTTGAACTTACAATGCTTTCTCTTCTTGGCTTTCTGGGACAAAGAAGAACTGTCCAGCAGTATATAGGAAGTGGATGTAAGCTCTTGTCTTCATTTGTACAAATAAATCAAATAAATTATACAACCAAAAGGTTAACCAAATTATTTAAACATATGAGTGAAATCATTTGGGACCAATAAACCTATCTCAGTGATTAAACAAAAAATTAGAAAGTTTTTTCGAAGGTTATGTTGAGGTTTTTTATTTTGAATTTTTAATCCAAATAGGAAGAGATGGAAGCATCTCTTGTGTGTTGTACGTTTTCATATTATATTATCTAAAAGAGGTGAAAACCTTTGCAAGTTAAGCATATTGCAGCTCCAAACATTAGACAACTGGCATTGACACTACACTGTGTAAGGAATGTTACTATGCAGCAAAATGCAGGTATGTAGGTGTGCTTGTGTAGGACAATCATGGCACATCACCATTTGAAAAGTATAAAAGTCCAGAACCTTCTAGACAATCAGTTGTCTTGATTCAAAGGTAATAGTGTACTACAATACTTAGATTATACATGATAGATTTTGGAGGGAGGTGGCAGCCTTGCTGTAGGGCAGGGTTGGAAATGTGGCTCTCTAGTCTCTCTGTTGAGACTTTCAGACTCTTCATATGCCTCCCTCAATCACTGGTCCTGCTCTTTGCCTTCTTCCTGCACTTTTACATTTGCGTGAATTCTGATCATGGTTCTTGCTTGCTAGAATGGAGGGTGGGGTGTGTGTGAGAAAGAGACTTTTGTAAAGCAGGATTGTAGCCTTCTATAAGAGTCACACCATGCCACATTCATTCTTTATTGGTTGACCATGTTACCTTCTCCCCTCTTGAACAGACAGGCAGCTTGGCTTTAACTCCTTTGTTTCCCATATTCAGTCTTTGCCAAGTTGTGTCCCTTCTCCCTTCACAACATTGCAAGACATTGGAATACAGCCCTTTCCCATCTTCCCTCTCGGCAAACACCCTTGACCTCTTCTGTGTACGCTACTCTCTGGTCTTCTGTTATATTACTTTGGTCCCCTCGCATCTCTCCAGCACTCTGCTGCGAACATCATTTTTGCTCATCTTGTTCCTCTGTTCACATAACCCCCTGCCTTAAAGCCCTATCCTGACTTCCTGTCTGTTCCTGGATTCAACACATGCTCTTCATCTCAAAGACCTCCAGGCCTTATCTCTCCACTCTTTTATCCTAATACATCCCTGCCTGTGAACTTTGCTTTACCATCCTTCCTTGTCCAAAGCTATCCTGCCACATTTTCTCCCTTTGCTGCAAATCACTTACTTCAAATCACTCATGAAAACCCACCTTATCCATAAAGCAGAACCCGTAACTCCCACACCCTATTAGAAACTGAATGCATAACTAAGTCTAAGCACGTCCCATTAAAACCTTCACTTTGCTCTTTTATTTAGTATCCTGCCTCCGCTTCCTGTTTGCCTTGTGTTGTTTAGCTTGTAAGTACTTCAGGATATGGAACTGTTCTCTTGTATTCTGTTGAACACCGAGCACACTCCCTGATGGTGCTACACAAATAAATGAATAGATCAATAGGACAACATCAAGCTGTACTTCCAGCCACACTACAATACTTTTTCCTTGTGGTCTTGGACATAAATTACAAAGTAATATTCTGGTTCTCTGCCACAAAATTATAGACCTAAAAATCACTAAAATTCAAGACCCAGTAAATGAAACTATTCTTTCTTGTCATCCCTTAGGACCACAATGTTATTACAAAAAAAAAAAAAAAAAAGGGAAACAGAGATTTAGGACACAGAGTTCTATGCCTAATCTTCAAAAACTATTTATGTATTTTATAAAAAGGCAAATCACCTTTGGGTTGTCTCTCTTTGAAATGTATTTGCTAAATTTAGTCAGTGGGAAAATATGCTGGCAATATTCCATATTCTATATAACCTAGAAATATCTGATTATTTTCATTTTTTTATTGTCTAGATTCATATTCTACAAGCCATGGTTTGGATTTAGTGTAACCTTTGTAGTTATATTTCAATTTAAAAAGAAAAGGAGGTGTTTCTCAGGGCTTGATACACAGACCACTTACTGTAGTCTCTTCTATGCATCACTAACTGCCTGTTCCTGTGAGGCAGTTTCACAAATGGGGTTTTTCAGTTTTTCCTACTGCAGCTAAAGCCACGTTATAAACATAGAACTTGGTTTAAAAAAACACACTATAAAAAACACTGAAAATACTTGGGGAAACTTGGGGAAAATATCATTCCCCTACCCACAATTCCACTTGTATGGTACAGCAGAGCGAGTGTTCTTCTTTTTCTAGTCATTATAATCTTTACTCTTAAGATATTAGAGAATTAGCAAAATCAGAATTAAATTCTGTGTCTTGTATTTATTCACATAGCTGGTAAAGAGCAGTCATTGGAGACGCAAGCTTCTTGTAATAGCTTCTGGCATTTTTCAGCTTTTATATGTGAGAGGAATTTTTCAATTTCCAGTCTTTGGCCTTTCTGATGAAACTGCTCACTAGGGTGCTTACTGTAGCAATTCTGTATTGTCTTTGTTTAATACAGACACCTGTCCCTTAGGAACCAAGTGGATTTCAATTGCTTATTATATACAGCCCACTGAGCAGACATCCAGTGGTGATTTTTGCTCAGCACTAGTTTCAACTTTTTTTAAAAAAATGGTAACTATATTTTTAAGAAGCAGCACCCTCCAGACCTGATTGACAATGCTATAACAGGCCAAATCTTGAGGGTATTCACAATTGAATATAGTATCTTGCTGATGACTATGGATTCCTGATCCCAAATTCCCACATACAATAATAGCATATCAATATATAGACACGTCCAACAAACGTCTAACCATTTTCCTCAGCTGAGAGAAAATAATTATTTTTCCAGTTCTGATATATTAAAAAAAATCTACAAAGTACTCCTTAAATGAAGGTGAGACTCAGCCTATGCAATATCTTTACAACCATCTCACTAAAACAGGGAATCTCTTCCATCTACTCTTCTTCTACATTGCTTTAAGAATATAGTTCTTATCTACCTTACGGGTAACACTTTAACTTCATTAAGGCTTAATAGGCGCCTACAATACCATTGAGGGGGGTTTTCAAAATATTTTGACTTTCAGTAGTGTTCATCACATCAATTATGTAGGGACATAGAAGAGCTGTCTTACCTGGTTGAAAGTTACTCATCTATTAGATAAGGGAGTTGCTCATCTATTAGTTCACTGCATTTCTATGAATCTTCCTTTCTCCTTTCCCCACTACTGAGTAGGAGTCTTTATCCCACTCATTGTTATCAAAGTAGACCAATCCAAATTAGACCATAGCATAAATTACCTCACAGGATTGCTGCAAGACTAAAAATGTCAGCTAAGAAGATCAGGAGGAAGGAACTAGACAAAATAGCGGTCAACGGCAAAGGGGATTCGGATATTTAATTTGGCACATCTTACCTGAAAATCTTCTGCTATTCTATTCTATTTAATGCAACAAATAATTTTAGTAGTCGTGACCGTGGTTTTACTGTATGTCTGTGCCTGATGATTTCATGATTATTGTCCCCCCCCGTTTTGTTGTTTGTTTGTTGTTTGTTTGTTTTTTATTCTCCTTCTGAACGATGCCATGGCCTATGGCTAGTGCAATAAAAAGTTTAATTGGAATTGGAATTGGACTAAAAATGTCTCTCTAGGCCTCCAAGAATGATCAGGATCTGTTGGCCTCCGTCTATCTTGGGAGACAATGGAAGGGTACACCTTCAGGGGTAAAGAAATGCAGAGCTGTTCTGCCAACAGACCTAGTGCCTGAAACCAGCTCCCCATAAAGCATGCCCTTGGGGATCTGTCACCTTCCGTTCTGTGTGCATGACCAAGCCAAGGTAGACATCACTGAGGCAGAAGTGCAAACATGCTGCGAATGTGGGTTTGGGAGAGCACATCTTTATTTGAGATGCTGTCCTGCTATGCCCAAAATTTTCCTGTGGTGCAGAACATATGAAATACATTGAGGTGTCACTCCTGGTGGGTGTGAGGTGCCCACAACTCACTTCCATAAAGCAGCATGCTCAGCCCACAAGCCTGGAAGACCTTCATCTTGGTATTGGTTGTTAGTATCACATTCTCCCATACCCTTTTGGAGAGGTGAGCCATTGCCATAGCTGCCTTGCCAATACACTTGTCCAGCTGAGCGTTGATGGAAAAGTTTATGGTTATGGTGGAGCCCAGGTAGACAAAATAGCTTACCACCTCAAGCATGTGGTCACCAATGCCAATGCAGGGAGTGTTGGCGATGTCCTGAGTCTAGATGTTGGTCTTGTGGGGCAATACAACAACAGATCCTGAAGGAAGAATGGTCCACATTGTCTATTTTACTACTGTGGGTGAACAGGAGAGAGTTGGGGGGGGGGAATAAAAAATTGCTCAGGTTTGAGAGCCAAGTGCCATTTGGAAGAACAGGGAGCAGAGGCAGGTCTGCTCTGAGCACAGCCATAATGGGCAAAAGGTTGCACAGTGGAGGAGCAACTGTAGGGAATGGAGTAGAATGGTCAGTTTGCCTCCCATCAATTTCCTCCATCTGACCCTTCCTAGCATGCTGTAAGAAGAGCCCAAAGTCCCACTGGGAACTTTGGTGCCTAAATGAGTCCTTTGGTGTAAATGTGCAATTTTAAAACGGAGTCTATAGCTAGAAATGGTTTAAGAATTGCATCACAATATAAAGAACAGTAGGATTTAAACAAACAGGCTCGCATCCACAAAAAGGAACAGGGTAGCTAATAACTGACGTTCTCCCCCCCCCCATTCTTTCTATAATTTAAATTTGGTCTAAATGACAAATCAATTAAACTTTCATATTTGCATTAAAGGTTGATGGAGCAGCCAGTCTGAATTACTTTTAAAGCTGCATAGAGGGCTCCCTTACATACATAAAATGAAAGCATATGGAGAAGAATTGATCTCAGGGAAAGGAGATTCCCATATGGTATAAAAGCAAGGAATTTCTTCATAGATTGAAATATGGATCATCTTTTAAAACAAATCCAAATTGCAGATGGTGAAGCTCAGACTGAAATGGAAAAGATTCCTTGTTATACCAGTGGAGCAAAGCATATGTTCCATATAAATGCTATAAATAGTAGCAACTGGATAATCCTGTGGGACGTGTTTGCATAAAGAAAGCAGCAATAGCAATAGCCAATATATATATGCGCATTTCCCCCCCCCCCCCCCGCCTATATCCATCTAGTGGCAGCACATTTTTCTGCTTATGATATGTGCTAAAATCCAATGTTTGGTTCAAAATAAAGCTAATTTGCATTGGCATAGAGACTTAACTCACTGGTGTATTATTACTGTGTAAGCAGGTGTAGAAGCAACTGCAAATAAATGCTTGCTGATGGAATCCCAGCAGGGTTTCTGATGAGTTTTCGTTTTGTTGAACCTTACCAAGGAAATTACTGCGTAAAAAGCTTTGCTATTAGTTCTTTGCCTGAAAAAATCATTTAGCTACACCTGGCCAGATTCATGGCAATTATACTAACTATGCATAGAGGCCATACCAAAAAACTCATCCACCTTTTTAAGCCATGGCCTGAAATCTGTCAGTGTAACAGTAGAAAATAACACAACTAAGCTATGAATAATAAAAAAGCAAATGCACATAAAGGGGGGAGGGAAATGGAATTTAAACTAGAATCTATGTAACTATAATGTAATGGCCAATATTTAAAGTGAGAATTGTCTACAATTGTTTATTTATTTATTTCAAATAATGTGTAGTGCTTAATCTTTTGTAATGGTTTTAAATGGCTAAAAGTATATGTAAATAGAAATGCTATGATAAAATATCTCATTAATAGCTGAAAAATGTAGGTGTGCAACACACACCTGGCACTATAATCCAAATGCACAAGTTAGCTTTGAGTGATCTTAGTGAAAGAGATTCAAAATGGATACTAAAATTGTTTAGAAAATGAATCTGTCTCATGGTAAAAAGATCCAGGGGTAATAAATCAGAACTATTATTTTGATTTCCTTTGTAGTGATGACAATGGCAATGCAACCCGTTAGCACAAAGAAAACATAAACAACAGGAGTATTCAGACTGTACTGATTTTGAATGCAAGTGTTTATCTTGACAAAAATATCCCTAAGCATAGAAGATATACTTAAAAAAGAGCGTTTATGAATTTTCCTTTACTCCATATGAGTTTGCCTTTAGAAGATCCATCCTTCTTGCTCTGATCTGCAAAGTTTTCACACCTGTTTTCATGGATTTCTACACGATCCTATGCATGCTTACTTGGAAGCAAATCCTACTAAATCCAATGGGGCTCATTGCCATGTAAGTGCACATGGGCCCTTAAGATATCAAAGCTGCATTTTTAACTGAAGCTAGAGTAATCAAAATGTAGGTATCATACACCCTTTAGTCACATGACTGCTTAGAATGTGACAGCTGCCACACGCTGCAAAGATTCTAATCTTTATAGTGTTGACATGATTTATGTACGGCACCACATCAGGCTATATTCATCTAGAAACACAACACAATTGCAAAGTATGTATCTGGGTAACCCCCATGCATTTATAAAGCAATAGGTTTCTTCCTTCTTCCTTCCTAAGATAAAAATAGCAAATACATTACAGTGGTATCTTGGGTTACCAACACCTTGGGTTACAAACACGTCGGGTCACTGACTCCGCTAACCCGGAAGTAGTACCTCGGGTATGGCTTAATTTCTAAATAAGAGCTATGGAGTCATCTTGTCTGAAAATCATACTTGGGCACTCTTACAAGGAGGCTCTTTCCCTGTCCATAGAGACTAATTGATTTGTTTTTAAAAGAGGAGATAATGGCACTCTGCACATATGGAATGGCATGCTACTCTAAATAAGTACTGTACATTCTGGTGAAAACTGTAAGGTTAAAAATGGCAGCCCTACCAAGCAAAAATGTGGCCGGCCACCACTGCTTTCAACCCACTTTCATTCTAAAAGGCAGTGGAATGCTGAATTCTTAAAAAACAATGTAAACATTGCACCAGTCCCTAATTCAGCAGCATAGGTGGTAGCAATTTACATACATTTGATTGAAAGCAAATGTCTCTGAATAAGGCAAATGTGTATTAATAGGAACACCCCACAGAAAATGTTATTTCTGTTTTTAACCTAGATCAGGTATATGAGTTTAATTGATAGATCCAGACAATAATATGGAATTCAGTCTTTTATGCTAATGACCAATTAAGTTAATGGGGTTACTTAACAGCTACTTTGGTGCAAATGATTTGAATATTCAATGATGATAGTGGGAATAGCTCCCTAGAGAGCAAATATGAATACTAAGAGCACAATTCTATCTATAGGTTATATTCTGTCTATAGGTTATACCTTATGATCGGCATAGAACCATTGCTAAATTTCCCTTCAGAATAAAATTAGACACTAGCATAGTTTACTTATGTCCGTGGTAATCTACCAGCAGTGGAATTACTTATCTACCACTGGAGAACTGCCAGTGTAATAGGAAAAATCCAGGCAGAGCTGGGGTGTGGCAGGTGAGGAATATGTTTTAATCAGAATCTTATCCGCATTCAGGGCCCTGACCTGCCCCTGATGATGGAATAGTGTTGTGCTTACAAAAGAGGTAGTCTAAGTAAAAAAAAAATCTAATGCGATCCAAGTATAAACAGCACCAGAACACTGCACATCCTACTTCCTTACATTTCTCTGTCCCCTTGTCTCTTCCTGGCAATATGCATTGTTGTGGGAAGGGCATGAACTGTTGGGAATCTGAAGTGACATACCCACATGGCAGAAGTTGTCCCCAGTTCCAGTCAGCACCCAAAGGCACCTTAAGGTCCAAAATAATTTACTACTGAAGAAGATAAGGCTTCTGTAACACAGTACTGGATGTTGATATATATACAGATAGAGATATAGCCGTACAAAGTATTTCTGTTGCTCCAGCAATTCAAGACGTAACACAGATTCTGACTCACTTCTCAAGACTCACTGGCTGACTAATGAGCTGACATTCCTTAATCACGTATATCAGGCATAGGCAAACTCGGCCCTCCAGATGTTTTGGGACTACAACTCCCATCATCCCTAGCTAACAAGACCAGTGATCAGGGATGATGGGAGTTGTAGTCCCAAAACATCTGGAGGGCCGAGTTTGCCTATGCCTGACTTATATAGATGGCACTGGGCAGTTGCCATAGTAACTGGGTTCACTGACCTTGCACCTGTTGGCTTATCTCATACATGGGGTGATTTATACTCATGAAGGAAATTAACCCCTTCCTCTATGTCCAATTCCTCCAACATGAACTGAGTTCTGTGAAGTCATTGTGGCATCCCTGCCATTGCCAAGGACACATTGTCTGGTAGTGTTGTTGTGTTATCTTTTGTTCCTAACCATTATTTTGCTTTGCTACTAAGAATGCACAAGATCATGATTATGTGCTGTTAAGTGTTCATTCTGGTACAGTTTTTGTTGACTTCATAAATCATAGGATTGGTATCCACAAAACCTTCTATATCCTTCTGTATTATCTGAATTTACATTACTATGAGATTCCGAAATACTGAGCACTTTACTTATATACATCAACTTATATGTATTAGAAACAGAATTGTGCCCATTATCAAGCATAAAAAGACCCTTAATGTTCATATATCCTTTCCAAGCAACATCTTCATTTAGGGGAGATAGGATATGATTTATTTATGAAGAGAGTTTAAAAATGCTTCTATTTAATTTCTTGCCTATATCACGGACTTGCTCCAAATCCCTCTTCTTCAAACTAAAACTCATTTTTATTCTCTCTTGCTGTAATTAGGAAGACAAGGTATATTTTAGACCTTAGAGTATTGTTTTAATTTTCCCACACAGTATTTAAACCACTTACACTGACACCTTTCAGAGTCTATTTCTCTTATTTAAAAGTCCCCTGTGGTTGTTCCTTGTCTCTCAAGTGAGCATTATCTTAGATTTACTACTATCTGTGTAACACCAGAGAAAAGGAAGATGCAGCCATACTCTGTCAGTGCCAAACAATGGCTGCCATTGTTCTTGGTCTTCCTGCGTGGGTTATTGCTGTTGTATACAGCTAAGTTAAAAATGTGCAAAGAAATAAAATTAGAGTTCTGCAATTAGTCCACCTGCAATGCCCAAAACCTTAGCTGAGTTTCCTGAGTTTCTCCAAATATGCAAATCCCAAGCTGGAAGGCTAACACCAATCAAACTGGTTCCCACTGTGTAGCTTTGAACAATTTTAAATATTCCTGTCATGTTGCATTTCACATAACACTGCCACTACTCATGAAATACATTTAGACATTTCTGAGCTGAATGTAATAGATGTGATGATGTGAAATTAGGAACTGTTTGGAACACTTGCTGCCTAGAATAACTGTTCTTGGTGATACTGGATCAGAAATATACAAATTAAATAAATTTCTCTGTGTGACTGCCTGGCTCTCGCAGATCATGGTAAAGGACATAAAACATTATTTTCACCAAGATAATTTTTTTCTGATGAACTATCCTGTTAGAAAAGTTGCTTGGCCTGAAAATAATCTTCATCTGTCTCTTTTTAAAATAGCTCTATTTTGCCTGTGTGGCTGTCTGCAACAAGTAATATCCCATCCACGCACTGCAATTTGCTTTTTAAATGGAAGTTGTTTGCTTTATTTATTTACAACTTCCATAAAAGACACTTAAAGGAAAGCATTTTTGCATTAAGTCATTTTCCGCCTCCAACAATATTACTTTCTTACCCATCAACATCTGGAGGACATATATCTAATAATTTCCATGCTGTTTTTTTCAAATAGTTTATTTACATAAATTCTCAAATTACAAAGTATTCCTTAACTCATGCATTAATCTTGTCAAATATCGTGTTTCATGTGCCATATTAGTATGATGCTAGGAACATCCACAGTTATCTCAGAAACCATTTCCATGCTTTGAAGAACCATCAAGGCAATGTGTTGATCCAAATGTACTACTGCATGTATTAAGAGCCTTCTATGTATTAAGGGCCTCTTCTGATGGTGGAAGGGGCATGAATCTACTAGAGGATTCTGCAAACGGAAGTCAGGGGCATGATTTTCACCACCACCACCCCACTTTACTCAGCTTTGCCCCATTATTTTTCAACCCTGCGAAGCAAATTTTTGAGGGACTCGGGGGAGCTTAGACTTCAGAGCACACCACTCACAGAACTCTGGATCCACCCCAATGTATGCAAATCCTTCTGCTGTGGTCCAAACATGATTTCCAGTGCTATTGGTCCTCTGACCACAGACAAGCTGCAACAGGCAGCTCAGAAGCAACACAAAATAGTAATACAGTTTGTTTCTGAAACTGGTGTGGGAATTCCCTGAGGGCAGGGGAAGGATCATAGCTCAATAGAAGAACATCTACTTTGCATGCAGAAGGTCCCAAATTAAATTCTCATCTTCTCCAAGTAGGGCTGGAAGTTTCCCCGTCTGAAACCCTGTTGAGTTGCTGTCAGTCAGTGTAGACAATACTGAGCTAGATTGTCAGTAGAAAACAGTAGAAAACAGCCTCCTATGTTCCTAAAAAAGCTGTGCATATATTTTTTAGTGATAGAAAGGGAAATTAGGTTTCCCCAACATGTAGTTTTGGGCTCTGTTGGCTTTGTTGCAGGTCAAGTTATCTCATGCTATAAATGAGATGGCTTGGATAGACAGCACAGGACAGGGAAATAATGGAGTATTTATTATTATTTTGAAGTAAAAATACAACATAGGACCGCTAAGGTATATAGCCAAATCGACCCAGAGAACAAACAGCATTCATCACACTGCACGGAAGATGTGGCCTTTCAAAAGGCATGCATTACGGGTATAATCCAGCCAAAGTTGAGCACATAGCCAAATGGTCTTTGGTCTCCTTTACAATCCATTAAGATGATTCAGTAGATTGGTTTTTGCTTGAACTCATGTCCCGAATGGTTACCATTATTGGAAATGTTCCTCAGAGCACATTGACTAAGTAACTCAATACAGCTTTTTTCCTCCTGCAGTACTTGTCTGAGCTCAGGTACATGGGTATCCCAGACTGAATTTAAGGCAGGTGACCTGTGGTGCCAGGCTTTTGGAGGTGCCTGTCAACTAGTCACTAAAGAAATGAAGTGAAGACTGAAAAACAATTCATCTTTACTTGTAATGCTGTCAACACTGACCAGTAAAGCTGCAAGGCAAGTCTTGCATTAATATAATAAAGACAATGAAAATCTGTAACATCACTGCCCATTCAACAAACTGAATGTATGTATCAAATCCATATGTGAAATTTATAGGGCAGAGATAAAAAATGCATACAACATGAAAAGTGGTACAAAAGCACTAAAAATAAGGTTCAGGTAATAAATAATATAGGCTTTCAAAGTTGAGCAAGTGGAACATGGTGCCAGAGATACTGACCTCCAAGGGCACCATTTGAGCTGGGGCCACTGTTGTGTTTTCTGGAACAACTGTTCTCCTAACACTTCTTGCAATGCAGTTCTTTGCTTGAAGTATATTGTGACATCCGTTGCATAGATTAGGAGGCTGCTGCTCTTAGCTTTGATTAAGCGGTTGCCTAACATAGCTATTTCGTAATTTTGACCATTATTATTATGTGATACGAGCCACATAACAAAAGAATTGCACAACACCCAACCACCTCAACACAATGAGCTGGACATACCATCTTTTTAATTAGTCCTGTTCTCCTAGGCACAACTGCAAAGCACACATGAAATTGCAATTTTATTTGCACACCTTTGTCTTCCAAGCCTCATATTGAACATGTTACAATATACTGTCTACTTCAAATATTAACATATCAGTACTCATGTGGCCCTCAGTAGATTGCGAAAACTAAAAATGTGGTAATCATCAAAGCGCCATGCAAAGCCATAATGTATACCATATGTTGATCCTGTATCAGCCCAGTACATAGGCTCCCCAAGCAAAATGTTAGATACAAAATGTTCCAGAATATAATTTGCAGCAACACAAATTACAAGAGGCAATTTTCACTGAAATTATTATTTTAAAAGAAATAAAAAAGAGCAGCATGCTGCAGTTTTCCTTGACCAATCAATTCTTATTTCAAAAGGTTTTAACAAATATTTAAAATGTATGAAGGAAAACATATGGAGGAGCTTTCTGCATGAAAATGCCTCCCCTAAACTTTCTGAAGTGAATGAAACCAAACATTCATCTCGGATTCATCAAGATAAATAATAATGTAACTATAGGAAGAAACATATTTGTGAAATCTAAAATTTTGCCTTAGGTACTCCTTCAGATGCAAGATGTTGGAATCTAATACCTTCATCTGCTTGGAAGTCCACTTTAAGTCGATAGGAAAAGACAGATATGAGGATAAATAAAAGCTTTGCAGTCTACTGAGTTTCTTAGAACTATTCTTATTGATCCAGTGTTTAATGCCTAATTTTTAAAGTCTCTCCAAAGGCAAGAGGCAAAGCTTCAGTGCAAAGGATATTTATAAAGGGTTGAAGGAAGGGGTAGAGCCAGAATTTGGGAACATAACAGACATTTTGTAGCCTAAAGTCTTCTATAACAATCACATTTAATGATTCTTCACAGGGTTATGTGGATATTATGGGGCTGTTTTATGAGACACAGCTGAGGTTTCCCCCCCTAAAAGATTCTCATATTACTTGGAGATGAAGACCACATGTGTATAGCTTTCCCCACCTTTTAAAACACAAAGAAGTATAAACTCATAGTAGGGCCTAGTGATGTTGTATGGTTGCCAACAGGTTGTTAATCAATGAAGAGTGGGCTAGAAATAAAGAACAACAACCACAACCATCCTTGGGAAACAAACAAACCGGAGTCCAGCATTTAGAGGGTGGCACCCAGTGGTATAGAGGCCCACAAAAAATGAAATACAAAATACTGGAGATCTGGGTAATTAAAAAAAAATATTAATGCTATATTTTCTGTTTCTGTATGGTAAGTGAAATACTTTTAAAAGTAGTGTTTTGAAATAATATTATTCTATCCAATTACAGTGGTACCTCTGTTTCCAAACGTCTCAGCTGACAAACATTTTGGTTTCCGAATGCCGTAAACCTGGAAGTAAATGGTTCAGTTTTCGAACACGCCTCAGAAGTCAAAAATGCCACGCGGCTACTATATTGAGTTTTCTGTATTGAGTTTTTGGTTTTCAAATGTTTCAGAACTCGAACAGTCTTCTGGAACGGATTACGTTCAAAAACCAAGGTGCCAGTGTACACTGCTGCTAGATCCAGTCACTAGTGCCTTTGTCTGGATTATTAAACCATTCTCTCCAATAATTGACAGATGAAGACAGGAATATGCTTGTAACAAAGGCTGAACCAAAAAACTTTTAGCTCAAAAATTGGGAAGTGGACCTAAAATGGCAGGACTGAAGTCTTGTGGGGTGTGGCAAGTGTAGCTGTAAAGTATATGGCAGTGGGGTGGGGCTGTTTGGCCGCAATGGCAGCTTCTCCCTTATTTGTTGCCCTTTCCTTCCTCTTCCTAATGACTTCTCCGTAGTTAAGGGAGCAGGGAGCTCTTCAGCTGGAGTGTCACCTGCTTCAACTCCATCTGACCATATCAAACCATTATTTCCAAGCACAGTACTCATACCCTCCAAGTCACGTGACCCACGTGAGATCATGGAGCCTCAAAACACACATTTTGGTATGCTGCACAAGATTGTGGTACCAGAAAAAGCACTTGATCTCACACGAGCATGGTGACCCAAATGGCTGCTGTGACCCTGCCGGGGAAAACGGAATGTCCCAGTTTTTCTGGGACACTTGTGGGGTATGCAGTACTAACCATTTTGCTGACATGGGGCAAGTGGGCAGCAAGACATTCACATTGTCCCTCTTGTTGTAACTTGCTAAATGCTTGCTCTCTGCCAGCTGTCCCATTATAGTGTGTGCATGCTCGGTAATGTTCTGGGGATGTGAAGAGATTTTCCCTGTGCTAGCTACAGAATTGTTCCAGAGGAATGAACTGGAATGGACTGCCAGATTTGCTATTAGTGTATAGATGAGTGAGGTTGTTGTTTTTTAGCTATAACTTCTGAGGATGTTTATACTTGCTGATAATTTGATGAAAGGTTCCTGCCATTCTATTCTCTCTCTTGGGGTTATACTTAATAAAAGTCTAGTGCAGTCTATACTGAAATAATACGCTGTCTCAAGTATTGTTGCTTTTGTTGGTTTTTCTACATAATACAGTGTTTTATGATGGAGAGTGGAGTATTTTATGAACAGAAAGATTTCCACTAGATTTATGTCCCATTTATATGAGGCCAATAGATTGCAATAGCACGTGTAAGAACGCTGAAGCAAAAAAACAAACTGTACTTATGTCAAGGAGATGGATTTCGGTTGTAAAGAATATGTGTAAGAATAAGATAAAGACATAATACCATCTTAAGGCCTTTCCCTCTTGATGCAGTTATATATGTTACTGCACATATGCAGTGAGGTCCCTGGCCCTTTAAAAATGTAATATTATGCAAAGGAATCTGCCTTGGCTAAAATGCAGATGGAGAAGAGAGGCACAATGGATAATAATGTAACACACACATAACACAATGGCACACACTGCAGGACCTGCGGGTTAGGAGTAACTATTAAGCTCTCTTTAGGCGTTATCCAAATATAGAAAGAAACATATGAGGTGGGGAATGGGGTGGCTGCCTTTGTGTTTTCATCACCTTCCCACATGTGGAAGGTGACTGTCTGCAGAGAGGAGCCTCCTGTATCAGTTGTGGCTTCTGCATGTGTTTTAGAATCTTGGAAAATCTGGGCTTCAAATTGTGAAGGTATTGTCCAGAAATACTAAAGTCTTCCTGCTCCACTCAGTCCTCTTTCATTAGTAGGAATTAATGAGAATGGGGGTAGAGAGAGGTGGAGGTAGCATGCTTGCTCCTGCTGCCCCCCCCCTATTTACTTCCGCATTTGGGTGATGCCTGAAGAGGGTTTGCATGTCTCCTGTTTTCTTGGAGACAGAAGGAGACAGAAGAGTCATCAATTACCGCAATGTTCATCACAGCATCAGCAACAACAAGGCTAAACAGTTCCTGACCACATACCGTATTTTTCGCTCTATAACACGCACCCGACCATAACACGCACATAGTTTTTAGAGGAGGAAAATCCGTAGGCATGCCACCCGTAGGCATTTCCTCCATAACACGCACAGACATTTCCCCTTACTTTCTAGGAGGAAAAAAGTGAGTGTTATGGTGCAAAAATTACGGTATATGAGGATGGGTAGCAATTTCATGGAGGTTGTTGACTCTCTCCTTGACCCAGTCTGGCCCTGATTTGGTGGTGGTTGTTGCTGCTTTTTGTGGAACTGAGGTAGCAGGGGCTTAGCTACCTATGGGGCCATTAGAAAGATCTAACCCACCTCCCCCACAATTCATCATTATGATAGGTAGCCCATTTGTATTTAATAAATGAAAGAAATAACAAATCTGAACAATCACATTGGAACAGAATAATCACTTATACGTGGTAACTCAATGCAAAAAAAGGAGGAGGATTGAATAGAGTCACTTTCAATGACTACTCTAGCGTATTTAGATGGGGTCTGGAGGTCTTCTTTCATCCTCTCCAGCTGCCAAGCTTGCTTACATTTACCTAAATATATTTAATACTAGAATCTTTGGGATTACTCTCCAGGCCACCCCATGCATTCTCTGTTGGAGTAAAACATTTACACTCAAGGAATAAAAGCAAACGGAATTGAAACACTGCAGCAGAGAAATTTGCCTTTCTGAAGCTTCTGTGATATTTATGCATGTTGGAATTGTTGTGTATTGATTTGGTTTTGAAACACCACAAGTCATACTAACAGCAAAGAACTCATTTATCCTTAGCACAAAACACACAATAAACAAGCTTATTGTTTGAAAGTTTCAGTTGGGATATGCAGTACACATATTCAATTATCATAAACAAATTTAAGTGCAAACTGCCAAGTGTTGTTGCCATTTGAATTGCTTACTATTACTCCTTTTATATCTTCCAGATTTTGCAATAACCTCATCATGATGAAATGCCTTTGGCAGCAATTCATTAATAAAGAACAGTCTAAAAAAACCTCTCAGACAACTGGGATGAGAAAGGTGAAATCAGAAAGAGTCATATGGATTCCATTCTAAAAAGGTCTGTAGCTGCTTACAGCTCTTTCCTATCACCATGAATATTCATAATTTGTATTCCTGCTGATCCCCAAGAGTTATTGGTATGTTTTTTTTATTATACCCCTTAACAGATGACAAATGAGAATGGGGTACATATACCATCTTCAGTGAGTTATATGTTTCTAAAGGGTGATTTGCTTGTAAACGCTTATCATGTATTAACTTCAGATTCAGCATGCAGTAATAACATGCATAAAATATAGATGCCAATTTGGAGATGAGTGGGGCACCAGAGAAGAGTATCATAGCTCTGTCCGCCCACTGCTGTGGTTTTACAGGTTTCTAAAATGTGCAAGGGAACAAAATGCTTCCCGTTGTAAAAGCTTACCTTTCATGAAATGGAAGGTGATCAGAACTGCTACCAGGGGATCTAGCTCACTCATCACCACTGTCCTCTGACGTGTTTATTTTGACCTAGCTGTAAGGCCCAAAGAGCACTCGTCTGTTGATAAATCTCCTTCTGGACTCTGCCATTTCTGACTGCACCTGATTGGATGGTTCATAGAATCATAGAGTTGGAAGAGACCACAAGGGCCATCGAGTCCAACCCCCTGCCAAGCAGGAAACACCATCAGAGCACTCCTGACATATGGTTGTCAAGCCTCTGCTTAAAGACCTCCAAAGAAGGAGACTCCACCACACTCCTTGGCAGCAAATTCCACATTAAAGAAAAAGTCCCGGCACACTGAAAATTAGCTTGTGAGTGGAAAGGCTGGGTAATGGCTCATTTTTATATCTGGAAGACATTCTTTCTATCTATCTATCTATCTATCTATCTATCTATCACATGGAAACATTCATTCATAGGAGTATCCACCAACAGTCTGTTGTGGAGCAGTCCAGAGACAGGTTTTACCACCTCATTTGTTGTTTTGTGAGCATTTGGTCTTAGGGCCTAATTACGCATTACTTTAAATGTGTTGCTTGAAGTGCCATCAGGTTTTTAAAAACATAAATCCACACTGGGACCACTGCATGTGGCGAGATGAAGTTTAACCTTTTCGCTTCCTGCTCTGATCTTGGGGGGGGGGCAGCCTCTGTATTGCAAATAGCAATTGCAAAAAAACCTCCTGTTGCACTAATGGGAGGGTGTTTCCTCTTCCCTCCTATTGTTATTTGCTGCATGTGGGAAATTATTTTCAGGATGGTGGTGGAGGAAAATACTTAAATTTTCCTCCTCACACACTGTTGGACTAACTGAGATCTAGGGGAGGGGGAATTTTTTAAAACAAACAAACAAACACACAAACACACACACACACACACACACAGAGAGAGAGAGAGAGAGAGAGAGAGAGAGAGAGAGAGATTCAAAGAATCATAGAATTGCAGAGTTGGAAGGGACTCAGAGGGTCATCTAGTCCAGCCCTCTGCAATGCAGGAATCTTTTTGCCCAACATAGGTTTTCAACCCATGGCGCTGAGATTAAGAGTCTCATGCTCTACCAACTGAGCTATACCAACTTATTCATTTAAAACAATTATTAGGCCTTTAGTAATACATAAAATATAAACTAGATTTTTTTTTAAAAAAGAATTCAGTGCAGTGTCTCACTACTGTACATGCTTTAGTTCATCAACTACAGTTCAACTATTTCAAGTTTTCTTTGCTTTATTCTCTCAGTGCATTCTCAGTGTGACCAATTTGCTCTTGGAAGCCCACAATTCAGCCTGTTATAAAGTAAACTCTCACTATTATTTGATCAAATTGATTGGAAAACAAGATGACACAACCAAGAAAAGAAGATATGCTCCATCATTCAAGCTTCAAAAATGTTGCTGTATTGTCGATGCTGACCTTTGACTCCCTTAATCACCTTCTTCTGATCCTGATCCTTAGCTCAAAATACCATACAAGTGTGAGCCAATGTATTATTTGAAAGTTACAGAATCAAGCTCTAATCCTAAAATCTGTGAGACGAGTTTTTATTGTTGTTCTCTTTGGGGAAAGGCACTTAGGGCATAGAGTGTGTGTGTGTGTGTGTGTGTGTGTACACACACACACACACACACACACACACACACACACTTTTATCTCTCTCTCTCTCTCTCTCTCTTTTAAAGCAATATCACCTTACTTTTTATAGTTACATGCTTTCCTTTCTGCAAATTCTTATGTCTCCATTCTGAAGATGTCCCAATGAAATAAAAATCTCTAATATCTGAGGCCCAATCATAAATGAACATCTTCCTAGCTTCTCCTTCATTTTTACTTTGTAGGATGGGCTCCTCGCACAAAGGAGGAAAATAAATTTATAAAGGCATTAGGAAGTACGATAATGAAACATTTGCTTTAACTGTTGTTTGTTTGTTTTTTTTAAAAAGAAAACCACAGACTTCCCCCATTCAGTATTCAAGCTAACATTACCCTGCAGTTGAAGTACAGAACCTATGGCTCACCAGATATTGTTGTAGTCTAACGCCCAGTGCTTTTTTCCAGCAGAGCGCAGTTCCTGCACCTCTCAGGTGGGTGCCATTGCAGGCCAGTGCTCCCCGCTTCTGCTTCTTGCCTTTACATACTTCTGAGAAGCCCAAAACGAACATTTCAAGTCAAAACAGAAGCTGGCCAGCGTGTGAGAGTCTACTCTTTTTAAAAAAAATAAATCTATGATTCCACCTAGCTCCTAACTGCTCCTAATTGTGATTGGTCAAACTACTATGGGGAAGGGCCAATTCATATTTCCTTTTCTTTAATCCGTCTCTTGTGTAGTGGCAACGAGCTTTAAGCTTTCCCGCCAGGCCTCTACCGTTGTACCTGTGTTTGTGCAATGACCTTTCTGAGCTGCCGTAGCCATCCGCCTGAATCTAGGAGAACGAGGGAGGTGGGTGATGCATTTAATTGACCATCACCAGAACCAGGGGCACCAGCATCTGTTCAGGGCTGCCCTGAGCCACCCAACAACTTACTGTAACAACTTCATGGTGATTTCCAGCACCTATTGTTCTTGAGAAAAGCACTCCCATGAGTCCAAGTCAGCAAAGTCAAGGATGATGAGAGTTGTAGTCCAACGACATTTGGAGTGTCACAGGTTACCCGCCATTGCTTTAGGGCTTCAAAAGCCAAACCTCTGTTAACAATGCTGAGAAACAGCCCAATAGCCTAACCAGATCATTAAGCATTGTGCTGTGGTGGTACAGGAATGGGCATGAGCAGTATACAGCTCACAGTCTTTTTTCAGAGCAAGAGCAATGCCAGGGTGATTCATTAATGGATCCTTCTTGCTCTGGGTGAAGCTGAAGTCTCAACAAGGATGCACTTTTAAATAGGGATAAAATACAATTTCCTATAAAATTAGAATTATCGAAAAGGGAAATTTCAAATCTCTATATTTAACCACCCAGATTTCTCTTTTCATCCAGATATGGGAACTGAAAATTACACATTTTGTCAGTAAAATCTGACACATTTAATACATGCACACTGATACATTCAGCATGACACCGGCTTTGGCATCCCTTAAAGTAAGGCATACTTCCTCAGCTCAAAAAGCCCTTGAGACAGTCACACAGTATGGGCTTTCTTTGAACTGTTACCTGCAGCAGTCCAACAGCTGGATATTTTTAAACTCAGTGGTTCCATCTTTAGCAATAGGACCTACTGTGTCAGAAACAAAAAGCAAAAATAACCCAGGTCTAACTCCCCCTGCACCCTAGCCTTAAAATAAATGTTGAATAACACAGTCACTGTTGGGTGGTTTCAGAGTTCTTCATTTATACTCACCTTTTAAAACAATGTGGATTGCTGCAATTAAAATATATAATGTTGTCTTTCTTAGACACTAAATGAAATATAGTACATAATTTCTGTAAATCAATATGGCTTTTAAAAATAAACAATAATATATTTTAATTACACAAATCCCAATTATTTTAAAGGGACAATGTGAATAAAGATATCAGAAGTGGGAAGAGAAATCCAACACAGATTATGTCACTCAAAATCCTATTTAAGGCTGGGGTGGGTAAATTCTGATTTGTTTGTTTGCCAAGTCCCCTTGCTAAAGGTGGAACCACTGAGTTTGCGAGGTCAAGATATTTTAAATGATATTTGATACTGTTTGAATGTGCTGGTACTGAAGGAGTTTACCTGAATCACTGCTGTCTTGTGTTTTCCAGTTCCTACAAGGTCAAACAGCTTATGAAAATCATGCTGTTTTTGCCAGTCTTATATTTCATCACAGAAATTCCTATGAAGAGGGAAACTCCAGAACCCATCAAAACACCATCAGTTAGACTGCAGAGCCTAAGAGTAGAATACTAATTTTTATAGCTACAATTACATATGCATGGGGAAATCAGGTTTTTGTGGCTGAAATTAACAGAATATATCCTCAATATCCTTGTTTATTTGTTCTTCCAAAAAAAGAAAAGAAAAAGAAGGGGGGGCTCTCTAATGAAGTGAAGAGGTGAAGGTAGCTTTGAGAGGGAGGGAGGGAGTTAGCTAATTAGGCAATATCCTCTTGAATCTTTGAGATAAACTCTAGGTCAATAGCACAAAAATTAGCATAACATTCATATTAATATGTTTCAAAATCAGATACAGCAAAAGCTTACACTTGGAAATCTGTGTAATCACAGGCATCTAATTTTCAAAGAGGTTTTGGGTGCTCATTATGGTGATGGATGACAGTACTGAAAACATCAACACTTTTTTTTAGCTCAGCCCCACGATGTGTGTTCTTTACATATTTGTCCTATGGTGTTTTGCAGCTTTATAATTTATTTAGCTATTGTCGGAAGCAGAAGAAAGATGGTTCATAGGTTCTCATTCTCTCTCTCTCTCTCTCTCTCTCTCTCTCTGTGTGTGTGTGTGTTTTACATATTACTGTTTTGTCCTTGCCTTCCAGACATGTTAGTCATAATAACTAATAATACCATGAAAATCAGAATTCACTCCAACAGGCAGGTCACCTGGGAGGTTGATGGTACCTAAACACCTCTGGGATTGTTATGATGTGATGGCACTCCAGCAGAAGTGGTGCTACATCATGATGCTGAAGGGCGACATCTCAGCACAGCATACCAATGGCAAAGGACGGAAGAACAAGTGGAATGAACTAGGGATGACAATTTTTGTTCTTTCATCTCTAACATCTTGTTACATATGTGTGAGAAGCAAAAGGCCTGAATGCCAGAGAAAACCTTGCTCGTATATTTGTAGCCTTGTTCACAATATATATTTTTTTAAAGTAAACATTTTATTTAACTTTGAAATTCAGAAAAAGAACTGGGAGTAAAACTGAAACCTCATTTGTAACTTTTATTATTTTGTGCTAGGGTAAAATATGAATTGCAGTTAGTATGGTTTGAAGGTCATGTAGAACTTTTTGACACTGGATTTAAATCATAGAATTACAGAATTGTAACGTTGGAAAAAAATCAGAAGGGTCATTTAGTTCAACCCCCTGCAATGCAGGAATCTTTCACCCAATGATCGAACCCACGACCTTGAGATTATGCATCTGTGCGCATAGGCATAAAACCCTGTTTTTATTATGTTTCTGTATCTGTTGGAAACTACCCAGAGTGGCTGGGACAACCCAGCCAGATGGGTGGGGTATAAATACAACAACAACAACAACAACAACAACAACAACAACAACATACTACTATGTACATACTACAACAACATACTACTATAACAAAAACAACAATATACTACTACTACTGAAAGTTCCCAGGCTCTTTCCCACTTTATAAGTCTATTGTCAACCACTCCAAAGGCAGGGGACAATTGCATATTGACTCACTGACCTGGATCCCTGGGACCAAAGTAAAAATGCTTCTGAGTCAATTGCTGGTAAAAGGCTGGTGATCAACTGTCCAGCTCTCACCAATGTGCAGTACCTACTGCAGCCATGGGCATCATAGCCTGTTCTGTTATAAAGAGCCCACCAACCAACCCTAAGAAGCAGCTTCTCAGGAAGACTGGGGGGGGGGATGGGTAACCCAATTTTTATAAGTGGAAGTTATTTCCACTATGACAAAGCCACCACTGGATGCAATTTAGTGCCTTAAACCAACCGTTGGCAGAAGGTGTTTTCTCCTTGGATACCAGGGATCAAAGCAATTGAGTATGCAGTTTGTACTGCCTGCAAAGTGTTTAACAGATGACTGCAATGGAAAGTGGGAGAAAAACTGGGAATTTTCATTAGTATGACTAGGATTTGCTACTCCAGTTTCAGGGTGACTTCTTCATACTGTAATAAAGGGGGGAATTAAGCAGCACGGGATGGAATTGTAAAGTCAGGGTTTCCTGTCAATAAAGCTATGAAAGAAAAATATATAAAATATAAAGCATGTGAGAAACTGACTTTAAGAAGTAATTACAGATGTAATCTGACTGAATACAACTAGGGATTTCCTTGTTTACTCTGGAGTTGACAACTGACTTTGATTACACACAAGTCGAAACACAGAAATATAGGAAGCATATCTTACATGCCAACCAAACTCCAGACAAAGAAATCTGAAAAGCCCATCTTACCTCCCAGCATAGGAAACTGGTTAGATTATTTATTCATCTAGCCAAGTATTGTCTGCTCTGTCTAGCAGCAGGAAACGAGTGTCTTGGCCAGGGATCTTCCCTATCTCCTGCCACTTTATCCTTTTTAATGGGAGATGCTAATGATTGATGGTGGGACAAAGCATGCACTTTACTAAGCAATGGCCTCTTCTCCCAACCCATGCTCCCACATGGAGTAACGTGTAAACATCTTCCACCCATGCAATTCCAGTGGATTCCATGGTCACATGCTGTAACTACAAAGCCCATTTTGTGCCATAGAAAAGGGGATTCATTTTACCTTACACTGGTTAACATGAGTGACATTCATAGCAATTGCACAAGATATAGTATATCTGGATGGTGGCTTAAAGGGTTTTTTATTTGCTTATTTTTAAGGGGTGTGTGTGGAAACAATCTGTGCTGCAAGAAGGGTTTGTATTTTTCCTTTGCAGATGTTTAAGTTGCACATGAAAAAAGGAACATTTTCCCCCTTTGGAGCTTGGCTTGAGTTCAAGACAATTTGCACAGAAATAAAATAAAGAATCAGGAACGTACTTTAGAGTGTGCATTCCAAATCATTTCATTTGGAGTTATGTCACCTGGTGTGGACCCTGCCCACCTGTCAAAGAGGAATGGGGAGCTCAGGATCTGGCTCACTAGCTGAATCCTGTTCTGTACAATCTCTGTTTGGTGGACTATGGTGGAATAGTGGAATCATTTTTTAAAAAAAAAATCCCTTAAATTCTTATTCTTAGGAACACCCCAAATTCACCAGATGATTCTAAACAACCTAGCACCTTCTCATAGTCATTTCCTCCTCAGAGGTTAAATGCTGTTTAGACCAATTATATAAATTATTCACATGAACTGAAAGACAAATGAATAAATGTGTTTCCTTTAGGTCAGTGTAGCCTGCTTTCCAAGTGAAGATGAACTGTTTATATAAATCATTTCAGCTGTTGAGAGGATGGACTAAGTAGATAGCCTGTGACAGCTGCCCCCGCCCCAGGCTTTTCACCCTGGGTGATTGCCTTGATTGTAAATTACTCTACATGGATGCATCAGAGTTATTAAATGGGACACATGCATCATGCATTAAATGCACCATGCATCAAAGTTATTAAATGTGTTACCGATGCAATTAGAACCGCAAGGCACAGCATACAAAGTGTCTTTTGTACCTACTGTCCTCTTTCTCGCAGTGATTTCCATGCAAGGCATTACTTTTTCCCTGGCAGCATTCTTCAGCCTGTTAAACTGTTCCATGGGGAGGCATTTACAAACATCTGATGTAGCCATATTGGCAAAATATATTTATATACAATCTAAGACTTATTGAAAGATGCATTTTGAATTCTTTTCTTTTTATTGCTTAGTTGTGTTGGAACAAATCCAGCAATACAACTTCCAGGTGCTTGGCAGACTGCTTTTCTTAAAGAGAAAGTGATAAAGAAATACAATGTCCCTTTATAGAAAAAGCAATTAATGGACTGTACATTTTTTTAAATTTTAATTTATTTATGCTACAGCAAGGGTTACAGGAATTTCATTCATAAATTGCTTTATTTAAGGTATTTGCTTCTTCAACAAAAAATGAAATCAATGCAATGCAATCATATGCATTTTATTAATCAATGACTTCTAAATCATCTGCTTATGTTAAAATGCATGAGATAAAACCTCATTGTTCTTGTTCAAATATAAAACATGTTAGCAGAGTCTGATTGCAATCCACATACTGTTCTGCTAATATAAGCTCTTGTCAGTTCAGCAGGGTTTACTGAACTCCAGCAAAGATATCTGGAGATCAGACTATGCCTCTGAGGTGCTATTCTTTTAAAAGAGAGAGACAGAAAAAAAGAAAGTACCACAGAACAGAAACTAGAAGAGGAAACGTCCCTCTTCCAATTAAGGAATAACATTTTTCAGCAACCTCATCATATTTTAGTGAAAGATGTTGCAAAATGATGAAGCTCCCTTCACAAAAGAAAACTTCTCATGAATATTCATTTGCATTCTAGGAGAATTTGATTGTCTCATTCTCCATTCCATCTCTAAAACAGAATTAATGACCTTAAATAGTCTCCTCTGACATTCTCTTTGTCCTCAGCTAGGTAAGTAATTTAGCATACTGGTTCTCTGACCCCCAAAACCTTATCTTAGCACACATTGCAGCAATTCTGCTTATCTAAGCTTTTTTGCTTTTATGGTATAATTTTATGCAACTAAAGAAAAGAGAGAACACATTCAGTTCTCACTCTTTCTGAGAGCAGCTCCACACATTACAAAGATGCATCAAAAGAAGATAGTGAAAGAACAATACATCCTCTTGCTGCTTTCATTAGAACAGCCTTTCCCAAGCAGGTGCCCCCAAGAAGATGCTTGGACTACAACTCCCACCAGCCCCAGCCAGCATGGCCAGTGGTGAAGAATGATGGGAGTTGTACTCTGGCAACACCTGGAAGACACCAAGACTGCACTTGCAAATTGGATGTGGCCTTTATGGACCTTATGAGTTGTGATCCCCAAGGCCATTTCAGACTCATGGATCGTGCAACATGAAAACCAGGAAGTTTCAGCACTCATATTTCCTTTCTTGCTATTTTCATGGAACATGGAAGTGACTCAGATCACAGGACAGGCATTTTGTTTTTAAAATTATATGGGGATCTTTTGCACACCAGCAAGGATTATATGCATGTGCATTGTCTTGTTTTAAGCCAAGTGTACAGAAGATTATCAGAATCAAATGAGAAAAATAATGAGCCAAACACTCCATGGAGGCAAGGTTGTGGCCATGTATCTTTTTCAGTTCATAATCTGTTCCAAGTATTGTCTTCTTTTTTTCTAGAGACCGTTTTTTAAAAATTTCAAATTTGGATTGGGGGAAATGCAGAATGTTGTATATTTTAAAGACATGAACTGACTTAACTTGATGATCAGGGGAGCTGGATGGTTAGCCAGGCAGGCTTCATGCATATTGTTTATTATATACACATAGAAGGAACCACAAATGACTGAACTATTGGCCCTATTCACTTGTTACATCAGGGCATATTCATGTTAACATTTGGGACAGGGCTAAAACTACCACTGCACTCTGAAATAGAGATTTCTTCCTTCAGCAGTTGCATGTTGCACATGCTTGTTTGTAAAGAAACGTGAAGCACCTCCTTACGTACCGGGTCTCTGCATGGTCACACCACACTCACAAGCAAGGCTTCACTCCAGAGTAAACATGACTGCCCTACATGGAAGTAATACATAAATAGGGCTATTGTGGAGTTATATATCTGAAGCTATTCACATTTCTTATTCAGGAAGTGCTGGTGGTTGAAGCAAATCTGCAATTTACCAATCACTATACCACGGAAGAGTTACATTTTAGTCTGTTCAAGGTAAGCTTTGCTTTGTATCCCTTGCTATTAGAGATTCATAAGTATTATGCAAAATGTTCCTAGGATAATTTGCACAATGGGGGTTCGGTATTTAATGAAAGTGCTTCTTATTTTTAATTACAGCATTTAAGTTCATCTTATTGTCAAGTGGAATGCAGTTTTGTTGATTTGAGATTTGGCTTCTGGGATTCCATTAAAAACAATCTATATACCTTATTTCTTTGTAAAATATATAACCATCTCACAAATTGCTTTTGAATGTCTCTTAGCTTCAAAAAAAAAGTTTAACATGTTGCATGGAGAACTACATAGGTGGTTCAGGGGGGAGAGCAGGTGAGGGGGGTGAAGTGTCCTGACTGGACAAGTAGCCTGCCTCTGCTTCTATCCCCAGTTGCTGGATCCCTGGGGAAATCTGAAGTAAAGGTACTTTTCACATACAGATTACAAGAAAATAATAAACTGGATTAAAAAGAAATATGCTGTAATGCTATACTTTTATACTTGGAAGTTAACTATCACAATCAATATTTAAAATTATCCCAACAGGCTGGAACACTGAGCTATAACCAACAAGATTAAATTTAACAGAGAAAAATGTTAAGTCCCACATTTAGGTACAAAAATACAAGTATGGTCTGAGGAAACCTGACTTGGCAGAAGTACATGTTAAAAAGATCTGTGTCCTGGTGGCTCACAAGCTGAACATGAGCCAGCAGTGTGATGTCCACATCACAAGTAGTAATAGTTTGAATCTATTCTGAGCTAGACAGACCACATCTGGAATACCATGTCCAGATCAGGGCTCCACATTTTAAGAAAGAGATTGCAAACTGCAATATGACTAGAGAGGACAATAGCGTGAGAAATCAGGAAACGAAGTCCTATGAGGAGTGATTGAAAGAGTTGGCTATGTTTAGTCTGGAGAGGAGACGAGAGGAGAGGAGAGATGATCTGAAGGACTGCCATGAAGAAGATGGAACACACCTGTGCTCTGTTGCTCTAGGTGTCAGGACTAGAGCCAATGGGTGGAAATTGCAGGAAGCAGATTAAAAACCCTTCACTGGGGGTACTTAAGCAGAGGTTGGATGCCTATCTCTGTTGAGGATGCTGTAGTTGGATCTTGCATTAAGGAGCCTGCGTTGAGCAGTGGCTTGGATTAGATGGCTTCTAAGGACCCTTCCAATTCTATGATTCTATAGGGATCACAGAGAAAATATTGTTGTAAATCTGAGTGGGAAGGTAAAGTGAACACAAAAGTTCAATGGGGTCAGAATGACTGCTCCAACTTCCTGAATGGTCAGTGGTGGGTCTGTTAGCCACATCTTTGGCTAGAGAAATTGCACGTAAATGCCCGAGGAAGGGATAGTAGGAAACCCAACAGAGCAGCTGACATACCTTCCCACTTCCCAAGCAAAGACAGATGCACAGGAACAAAGAAACTTCAAAAGAGAGGAAGAAAGAGGCAAAGAGGACTGAGGAGATTATGGAACTCCACATGCCGACAGCACCTGGGGATGCAGGGGTGCCTCGCTCTGGAGATCAGAGGTGGGACTAGCTTGGTTGGACTGCCCACCTGTGCTCAGTCTGTATATATGTAAATAAACTCAATTATTACAGAAATGCCTTAAGTTTCCAGTCATCTCTCCTTCCAAAGAGAACCAAACCTATGTAAAATCTACTGTCCCTGGAACTTCATATTGCTGGGCGAAGGTATGCATGTGTAACAAAGGGCTGGATCCTGGTGCAGTCCTGCTTAGAGAAGACACATTGAAATCAATGGGATGGAAGTTGGACATGATATACATATACTGTTATTTCTCTTTCAGAAATCTAGTATGTGAACCAAATGAATTGTCCCTTCTATACCTGACCCCCAATATATTATTCCAGTCTACCACAGAAGAACAGCTGTTTAAGTAACACAAGCTTAAAGTGGGCACAAATAATCATGCTTGGATCTTGGATCTTAGTTCCTATTTATTTATTTATTTTGCTGGAAACTTCCTCAAAGTGCTTAAATTAACCAGAACATAATACCCTGTGCTGCATCTGATCAAACTGCAAGCCTAATTACATATGAGAACATGTAATCTGTTTTTCAGACATGTTTTGTTTTGCAATTAACATTTTTGTTGAGCTAAGGATTCGTTTTTAAACAACAACAACAGTTTTCATCTTGCAAGGCTGAATAATATAAAGAAATTGAAACCATAATTATAAAAAGCCCAGGCTTTATGTTTACTCATGGCCATGCTCTACACCTGAGCTATAACAAAAGGTAATTGCATCCAGACTGGTATATATTTCAAGACTGCAAAAATTGTCCTTTTCTGTGTCTAATGTGTGTTTTTTTCTGCATATTTTAAGGATATTTGCAATTTTCAAAGCCATTTAGCTGATGGCATTATTATAAACCCATAAAGTGTATATTTTGAACAGACAGAGCTACAAACCATAACCATATCCTCAAAGAGAGTGTATGGACACAGTATAAATATTTTGAGGATAGGTGAATGCTTGCAGAGCCCATGGAAAACAGATAAGCATTCCAGCTGGGACACCAGTTCCCCAGGATGACTGATATACATATCTCCCCCCACCCACCCACAGTATCAAATGTCATCTTTGCCACGCTCTATATAATAACACCCTTTGGATATTAGACTAAGGATCTTAGCTGGTATCACTATGGTATCATTTTCTGAAGGCTTCATATTCCCTTTGGATAATCTGTTTCACCAGGATAGAGATAAACAATATGTAATACTATTTAGTGTCTTCGTGGTTGTTTTTGTTGTTGTTTTTTTAACAGGGAGCATTCCCATTTTATAGAGCAATTCGTTATCTGTCCAAGCATACAATAAGGCTGCAATCCTATGCACACTTACCTGGGAGCAAGTCCTGGTGAACTCAATAATCTTTTCATTTGAGGAGTCATGTATATTGTACTGTAAGTCATCTCACTTTTTTGCTATGAGATTATACTGGAAATGAGCACTCATTTAAAAACATTTGAACTTCATTGTCTCAAAATTACATGCAATAGAAATCACGATACACCAGCTCTGCTTATGCTACTAGATCTGATGCATTTTTGGTGGCTGAGTGAAAGTATTGTGATTCTTACAATGTATTGGCATTACTTGAAGGCAGAAAATTTACAAGAGTGGATTGTTAACTTGTCTTTATTTTGACTAGACACCAACAGCACAATGCCTTTGACGTTGGCTAAGAACCAGCTAAGTGCATGGGTGAAAGGATACTGCTGGCCAAAGAAAACAAAGAAATCCCTGTCTGAGTCTACTTTTCTGGCTTGCTTTTATTAGGCAAGCGAAGAAATAAAAACTTCAAAGAAACACAAATATACATTTAGTAGAATATTTAGCCAACATAAATACAGCGGTAGTTTTGCATTTTCTAATCTTAATGTGGAAACAATATCCTTGATAACTATAAACATGCTGCAATGTATTTTTATGACAGTTGTTATTTTGGCACTGGTCTCAAGAGCAGTTAAGAACTTTTAAATATTGTTCCATTTTGGTACAAATAGATTGCACTTACACAATTCTGTACAAGAGAGAGATGTAAGAGACAGGTCTTATCTCAAGTTACAATGACTTACTTTTTGATCCTCTCTTAGTGCAACTAATAATTCAAGTAGAGAACCACACAATATGTGGCGTCTAAAATACAACTGACAGCCTAAAGAGCTCAACAAAGAAAAGGACAACCAAGGACAACATGCAAATGCTAGCAGTGACTAAAAAAAGAGAAAAGCTTAAAACTATATTGTACTTATATAAGAAAGGGAAGGAAGCCAATAAGGTCTATTGTACATGGTCTTAAAAAAACAATTAAGGGTCCCCATAGGTTTTTAGAAGCATACTCTTCTTGGATCTTCCCATATATTTGCATCTTAGCCAGATGACTGATAAAAAATATTGTCTGGTGGTAAAATGGAAGAAGCAAGGAAATCAGGGAAATTCTCAGAACGGGCACAAAAGCCAAAAATCACAGTAATTCTTATTTAATAACTTATACATCACACTCTACTCAGGTAAACTCAGAAGTCACTACCAATATGGTGGACAGATCTGTTGTTAATGGATGAGTGGCAACAGGACAGCTATATGGCACCCAATTATCCATGACCTCAGTTGACTCACACATTAAAATAATTAAAATATGAACATTAATAAGTTAAAACGGTAAATACAGATATATATTAGTCACAGATATTTCTAAGGGGAAGGCCATATCTAAATAGTAGTAGAGCATCTCCAGGTAAGAGAGACCCCTATGTGAAATTCTGGAGAGGTGCTGCAATCAGTGGCCAGGTCCACAATAACACTAAACAAAACCATGGCTTAGAGCAGAGCTTTCCAAACTTTTCATGTTGGTGACACACTTTTTAGACATCCATCATTTTGTGACACAGTAATTCAGTTTTACTAGCAAACCGGAGGTGAAGCTAACCCCTTTCCAGCCCCATAAGGAGCGTGGGGAGCGTTAATGCAACACTGCAGCTTACACACAGTCACGACACACAGTTTGGAAAGCTCTGTTTCAGAGCAAAAAAAGAAATGTGTAGGTTACCAGCGCAAAGACTGACCACCTTCTCTGGTCCTGCTGCACTACCCAGGGCTAAGAAATGGTTTGGCTTAGCATTACATGTGAACCAGATCAATACAAAAAATGCAGAGCTAGATAGACCAGTGGTGTGACTCAGTATAATCAGCTTCCTATGTTCCCATGATGTCTTAGTCACAAAGGAACAGGCCATAACTGATAAGATGTTTAGAGGGGACAAAATAACTATAGTATCTGGCTGGGCATATTTTACAAACTAGGCTGATGAACATTCATGTGTCATGTTGTGAACAACTGTCATAACTTACTCCAGTGTTTTTTCTAGACTTGGGGCCAAACTATATAACTGGTTATTTGTGTTTATTTTTAAAGTGTGTTTATGTCAGACACTTTTATTTTAAAGGAAATGCAATTGAAAAGCTTTAGCAGGGTAGAAAACCCCATTAGAAACTATGTGGTGTATTTTGAAAAATCAGTCTGAAAAGGAAA